CCGTCTCTTTAGTGGAATCTGTTCAAAACACTCCCATCTTTCTTCGGTATTGCTGATGAAGATGAGTTGTTGGCTGAGAACTCTTTATAACAACTTTCTGTTCAGTTTGGAGCACTTTATTCCAACATCTTCTCACACTCATCTACATATTATCAAGTTTGAGTTTAGTGATAAATATTTGTATAAGTATATACACATGTTGAAAGTAAAAAAGAATTATCATGGTTGCATTTCTGATGTGAAACATGGCATGAGTCGGTGACATGTGATTGCCAGTTTAGGATGTATATAGAGGTAGTTAACTTTGCAGATGGTTAACATAAATATCTAAGCTGTTCTCAATTTGGATGCAAGAAAACTTCGTGATAGATTATGTTTAACGGGCGTGTATTACATTTAAGAATTTACACGAGTCTGTACAAAATATAATCCAAGAATATAATCTTTGATAATTGCAAAATACTATCGACTATAAGCCACTTACGTTTAATGAACATTTATATCATTCACCTTGAGGTTCCTTTCAGTGCTCTCGAAAGATTATGGGTTGAGTAGTGGAGGAGTGATTGTAAGTAAAAGCATAACCGAGCCATCTAATAGACACAGTAAGTCCCTGTAGAGTGAGGACTCGTCGCCGGGGAGGAAGCCGGATTTTGAGGAGCGTGGTGGCGCGCCAGTAATGATCCGAACGTCCTCGATGGCAGTTTCTTGCCGGGAGTTGAATGTGATTGGCATGCCGGGAGTATGTGTAGATCGGGAGTGCTTGGTATACTGTGTTGGACTTCCCACATGGAAGTGTGCAAGAATTTGGTAGGTTTAATTTCAGTATATTGGTGGCGACGGGATTTGCATGGAGAATTTAATTTGACTTCAATATAAAATCAAGGAGGGAGAGGGGGTGAGGATATACTCAACTAGAGAGGGAATTGGGTCTAATTTGTGGTGTTTTAGTCATTTGGGGAGATGAAAGCGGGCCTCACTAAGAGGTTGGGCCGGAATGCGCGCCAATAAGTAGAGGTGTAGAGAGATGGGATGGAGTAGGTATAAATAGGTACGTTATAGGGTTGTTTTGCCTACAGTTAAGCTAAGAAATCAATTAAGAGTCTAGAATTATTTAATTTTTCTATTATTTAATAGCAAAAGCTTAAGAACGCTTCCCATTTTAAATTTAAAAAAGGGGAGATCAATTTGAATTTCAAAATTTGGATTTAACCTCTTTAATGGGTGGCTTAATTGCAATCAAGCCCCAATTAAGGAGGTTATATCATCTAATGAGACCATTTGAAATTTCAAATGTGGGGGAGGCTATCCAAGAGCGAGAGAGGCCGGCAGCGGGAAAGTAGGCGTGCTGGGCAGGCCGGCGAGGAGGTCTTGGCCGGCGGGTGGCTCCGTCTGTGGCCGCTGTCTCTGGCGAGGTTTGGCCGGTCTGGCTGCAGAATTTATGGCTCGCTAGACAACATGGGGGGAGAAGAACACAAGGTGCCACCGCGGCTTTGGCTCTTCTTGATTGGGACGGGGCAAGAGGCAGGGTAACAAGAGGAGAAGAAAAATGGAAGATTCGAAGACCTCGACGACTACGGATTTACTAACCTCGAAATTGTCTCCAACGTTGATTTTCCACAGGATGAGTACATTATTCGAAACTGAACTTCACACAAGAGATCTAGTCCTTTCTCCGGCGAACTAGAATTCACTTATAGAGATCTAGTTTCTCCGGTTGAACTCATAAGATCGTGGAAGATAGATGAACTCACTAAGAGAACTAAGAGTAAATTTCCATTTCATCAAAACTAAAAATTACATGTAGAAAATGGCATATATTATATATGTCCTCTCATAAATGACAAGACAACTATTATAAGACTAAATGCCCTCGGCTACAATTATATCGACCAACTAAACCCATAAGGGTAAGTAACAGAAAAACATAAAAATCATAATAACTACTATCCTATATATAATGGATGAAATAAAGGTCATGATCGTGGCCGTCGATCTCCGACATCTCCTGATGGTACATGTGTCGCAATCTCTGACGATGTCGCCTATAATTTCTTTCGTTCATTGTAGTGAATTGTGTGTTTTCCACTAGCTTTGTAAGCAATCAGAATATATTCGCATTCATTCATTGCATTTTGGGCCTTAGTGCTAATATCTTTGTTTCCAATTAATTGCAACTTAGACTTGCACAAATTCTCTTTGGCTTTGACCAATGTTCTCCTCTATATAACTAGAAACTGAGTGATTGAGAAAGTATGTCACTGCTCATGGGATGTCTTGTCTTACATCTGAGTTATTTCCCATCTTCTTTTGATATATAGTAAAAGGCATTATATGATCTATTTACATTTCTGAAGAGCTCTAAATATGCTTTATCTTGTCCTAGTCATGCCATCATATAGAATAAAATTCAAGGATGGTTTTTCATTAGAGTCAACGATACGCAATAACCTAATAAAAGGGCCCTGATATCTTTGAAATAATAAGACAATTATCCCAAAACCTTAAGTCAAATATATTGAAGCAACTTCCTTTCCCTTAGGAAGTTTTGGATATTCTTCGAATCCATAAAGAACTTGCTGTAATTAGTGCTTGTAGGTCATGATGGCTCATGTACACTGTTTCAAAGTTATTGAAGGTTGTTGCAACAGCGAGGAGCTCTCAGGTAACGCATCGAGTCTCCTTCAACTCTGGCCTTCTCCTAAGCCATGCTAGTAATGAATATTATGATTTAACATAAATTGGTCAATTTTGATGCTTTTTTTGCATAGTCCTCTATGAGTGGCGATGCCTGTCAATACTTTCAAAATCCATTACATCTCAATGTGCAGCACACAAGGTCCACTATGTTATGGTATTGCATGTGATAATCTTATTAATGAGGTTGACCTGCCTTGCCTCTTGTAATAGCATCGATGTATCAGATGAATCAATCGCTAGTGAAACAGATCTATAGTAACGAATATCTCCTTTGCACCCATACCCACTCCCTAAGCTAAACAGATTCTCTTAGATTAAAATTAAATGAGCTACAGGAGTGGGTAGCATCTCTTGCTCGTGAGCATTGCTATTTTGCCTTTCCCACTGCTCCCCACTCATCGCACCAGCACACGAAGTGCAATTCGAAGTATAATCAATTCTATCTTCATCAAGTCATCCAGTCGAGCTAAAGCATCGGAAAAATACTCGGCCACCCACGCGGACCAGTAACGCACTCGGCCTGCATAAGTCAATCAAAAAAATTAGGTTGTTCAGATCCATCCCACGACAATTCACAATTCGAGTACCTTCTTGCATTGTTTGTGAGGTAGGCTCCATCGTGTGGTTTTGAATCTGTTCCTAATACGGATATATTAGTTAAAGTTTTTAAGTTTGATTAGTTGAAAGGTTAGGTAAGAATTTAAAATTAAAAGTATTAAGTTTAATGACTTGAGTTTGATTTTAAATTACATCTTTATCATATTTTTCAGTGGTCTATAGCTCCACCCTTTGGTATTTCCAGCCCATAAGTTAAAACATGTGAGGCGTGATAGTTTTATTTCATCTCTTTTTTCCCCATATTTTGGTTGGGGTTCTAATAAAGTCTCAATAAGCCATTCCATAGCACTGGGTTACTGAGTTCAGTGGGTTCGCATTCTTCCTTAACAATCCCTAAGTAAGTTTACCGCTCATGTTATGGATTAATAACTAGGAGATTACATGTTGTTGTTTGAACCTGTACCTGCATCTAGTTTACAGAGTTATATAAGTCAGCAATGAATTTAAATCAGCATATAAGTCTAGGATTTTATTGATTTGGAAAATTATTTGTTATATTGGTTGGTTGCTCAGAAATCAAATTTGTCTTTGGAAGATATTTTAAAGAATGGGTACATTTTAGTAAAATTGATATGACATAGCATTTCTGAATATATATAATAACCTATCCATTTTAGTCTTATTATTTGATTTATGAGCTGTATTTCTATAGTACATTGCTTACGTGATCTATTTCTCAATACTTCTTTTTAGATTTCTACCTTGCACTTAACTTCTAATTAGAATAAGGATTCATAGTTTAGATATAGGATAAGACCTCGGTTATAGGATTAAAAAAATAAGCCTGAATATCTCTAGACTTATTTTTCTTCCATTTTATTTACTGTACAAACGGTTTGATCTTATGAATGTTTTTGTGAAATAGTATGCTTAAGTCTCTCGTTATATCTCTGAACCTATCCGCCGGGAGCTAAACGGCCAGGAACTATTTGTTGAGATTTTAACTAGTTGAATTAAGTATTAAATATAATTTGACTTATTTATAGTTTGATATGCACAGTGTATGTTTTTCTAATGGATTTCTATAATGTTGAAGGTTCATATTGGCGTTAGGTTTAAAATTACTTAAAGGGTCCCACTTTATGATTGATTCATGAGTTCCACTCTCTGAAATCAACCTCAAAGGCCAGGAATGACTAGGGGAGATTCAAGTGTTTGGAAATTTTTGGAATCTTTAATTTTTTAATTATTTATATTAATAAAATATTGATTTTTACTTAAATTAATTAAGGTTACATTTGTTCAAATAATTGGGTTTAATTTTCAATTGGCTAGGATTCAATTATGGTCAGTTGAGGGGTATACTTTTTATTTTTTTGGGTTTAAAATGAATTTATTACATTTTTGGAAGGGTTGAGGCTTAAATTAAGGGGTTTAGATTTGGAAAATGTATTAAGGATCTTAATGAATTTAAAAAATCAGTGAAATTTTATCTAGTGGTCAGAGTATCACTATGTTTTAAATGTTCAAACGTTTCAAGTCGAAAATGATGGCTGTATCCTAATCATGCATTTTTAAGTTTGTCTAATCAAGTCTTAATATGGTCCTTAACGTGGCTCCGTAATTTTAGGCTTTACAGTCGAGTTTTTGCACTAGCTATATATTACAGGAGACAGGATGATAACTATCAAGTGTCCTTAAAACTAGGAAGAGCTAGGCTAGGTGGTGTGTGCAACGACTAAAGCATGCAAATTAACTTAAGCTTCATTAAGTAGAGATTAATCGATGAAATAATTAGCAAATAATTATTCATTGATTAATCAATTTCCCAAAAATTTCTATCAATCATTTCAATCCATGTTTAAAAAATCCAAGGATCTCTCAAATAGTTTAAGGATTTAAAATATATATACTATATATATATATATATATATATATATATATATATATATATATAGATATATATATATATATATTATATATATATATATATATATATATATATATATATATATATATATATATATATTATATATTTAAAGTATATATTAATTATTAAATCATATTATTAATATTATATTTCAAATAAATAATGTACAATATTTTAAATAAATTTTGAGGGGTTGAGAACCTAATCTAAATTTTCAACAAAAAAAAATAAAAGAATCAACAATAATCAAAGAAAGAAAAAACAAAAAAAAAAGAAAAATCAAACAAAAAATCCAAAAAAAGAAAAAAAAAAAAAGAACAAAAACATTTCATGCATTTGATATCTAACATCATGTGGGACCTTCTTGCAAGTAGCTATATTCCCCTTTACACCTGCTAAATGTTGTTTCATTCTATTAATTCCTCCTCCCTTGTATGAAATACCACAATGTAAACATTTAAAATTGTTTATTTCCATCAGCTCCTTTAACTTCAGTAAAATGATTTCAAGCAATGTCCACTTTCACATGCACAGTATAAGTTGAACCTGAAGTCTGATTACTAGGTGCTTCCATTCTAATTTGATTTACTAAATAAAATTACATACAAATATAATTAAAACCATAAAAGGTAGAAAACTACAAAGTTGAAAACTACAAATAAGAAAACTATAATTAAGAAAATTATAACTAAAGAAAACTATGCAAGGTAGAAAACTATGCAATTGAAAAAGTCACAAAGCTAAAACGACACATAATGCATACCTCAAAGAGCTAAAATTTTATATCACTTGAACTTCCACCACAGACTAAAGTCTCCAACCTTTACAAAGTATTGATGAATTCCGCAAAGAAAGCACGTTCAAAACCTGGAATAGATTTAAAATGATTTCAAATGGAATATGCATTTTCACCATAGGAAATGTTAGTAAAAAAGCATCTGATTTTGACTAACTGTAATACTAAGTTAGATAAAAAAAAAAAAAACTCTTCACGTTGCTTTTCAAAGCGCATCTCTACACTACATTTAGCAGCTTGCCTTAGCTCATCCAGCCGAGCTAAACACATTTGTGCATTTGCTAAAAGGTTTAACCTAGAAAACATAAAAAATTCTTTGATATGAGAATAACATTCAATGAAGCTATCTTTTATAAATTAAGACGAATCTGTATCGGCTAACAGTCAAACTAGAATTGGGAACAATTGTTAACGATATTTAAGCTGATAACATTCATTCATTATGAGCTAGAAATAAGATCCCTGCATAGGCAAAGTAGGAAAAGAGGAATAGAAAGTTCCAGCATCTCCATAACAGGGCATGGGCTCACCTCATATAATACTATATCAATGCTAGAAAATAATATCTAATTATATTAACTACTTAATTCATAATTTATTCACTTAAATTAGATAGCATTCAGGGTCATTACATATAGGATTATGGATGCATATTGTGGATAAAATAGGATAACAAAATTAATTGTAATCAGGTCCCTTAAAATTGATTGAAACACTTACATAATCCCCTAAAATTTATAAAAAAACTACGGAAGATTCAGGATTCCACAATCAAAATTTCAGTAAATGAAAGATAGACCTGCACATTGAATCCTAGCCCCAACCAATATCTCAAAAATATAACATATTAGAATTTTAGGATCAGAATCCACAATAAACTAAATTATAATTAAAGCATTAGGGAATCCTAAACAAAAAACTAGCAAGTTATCATGCTGGATAATAAAACTAGGAAGAAAAAAAAAAAGACAACGCATTTCATATAAAAAAAAAAAGAAAAAGAAAAGGTGATTTGTAAGTATAACCTTTTTTGCTCGGCTGCATTATGCTTTGCCTCTAGCTGCTGACCAGGATCTTCTTCTTGAGATGACCAAGACGGACTCCTTGGTTTTGGCCTAGCTTTGCTTGACAACCAGTCATGAAATTGCTGTTCAAATATTATTACAAGTTAATATGCAGCATGTACTTTGAAATGGTTTTGTGCAAGAGCATGTAGGATGCAGAAGAATAGAAAAACACCGGAAGCGGAGAAGAAGAAGTTGGATGCGGAGAAGAAGATACCCGAGGAAGAGAAGATGGCGCCAAGGCTGAGCCGCGAGCAAGCAGGCCGCAGGCGATACGATTAATCAAATAGGGATTTTTTTTCTTTTTCGTGTCGTTACTTTGAATACCTCCGCTCGCACTCAGATGGCAATTCAACCGTCCGTTTCCCTTTTTAGCGAACAGGCTGGTTAAAGCAAACCGGAACCGGTTCGACCGTTCGCCGGTCGGACCGCCGGTTCGAGCGGTCCGCAGCCGGTTTTCTGCGAACACGGTTCTATACCGAACCGTAACCGGCCGGCCGGCCGGTTCCCGGTTCAACTGGTTGAACCGCCAGGTCCGGTCCGGTTTTAAAAGCCTTGGTTATTTTACTTTTTATTTGTCACCTCTTGCATTAAAGGCTTGTTTGATTGCGTTCAACAAGGCTTCATTGATTATTTGATTTGATACAAAGTAAATACTTATGACACCCTAAAGGTCTTTTTAGCCTTCCCGGGTAAAAAGTACTGGCTTACTTTGAACTCTTTCTTCTTCTGACATTATTTCACTGCACTCCTTTTTTTGTATCCATACAAGTGGTTTGTTAGCTATTTCACCTCAAAACTCTTTATTGCTGATTAGTGATTTTGACATGGCGTTTACATATTAGGAGTATATGGTGAGGGCGGAATTCAGTCTTCCCAGTATAACTGCAGAAGAATCAACACCAGAGAAGAAGGCTCCGATACGTGTTAAGTTTGAGATCCCATACTTCACTGTATCCGGAATTCAGGTGCATTCATCTTTCTTAAATTAATCATCATATAATTATGATACTAGTTCTGCGTTCAAATATTTTTTTTTTAACCCATAGCAGTTAACAGTTGACAGCTGAAAGTTGTTTGGCCTCAGTAGCATGGCTTCACATAGAAATAAGCATAATAGGCTGAATTTTAGTTTGAATTATCATGCTTCTTCAATTTCTTTTATAAGCTATCTCCCTCAGTTAGCTGTTTATCCTGGAATTTGACATCAAAACAAGGATCTTATGATGTGAAACGATGCAAGAATTGCTTGTAGAAAATTAATAACTTGTGAACTTTGCATTGCTAATTAAAAACCAATGCGTTCCAAGATAGATCGTAAGAAAATCTCCACGGAAGAACTAAGTAATGTCAATTGATTACACTTAAAAGCAACATGAAACTAACAAAATCATTACGACAAATAAATAATAAAGCAAATGGCTCTTAACAAAAATCCATGGTTTAAGATCTAGATCATTCACCTTGGAGTCCCTCACATGCACTCTTGAGGTCGCTCGGTTTAGCGGAAGAGAATTGCACACAAACTTAAGGATACCACTAATAAACAAGTGATGCCGGGGGGGCTAGTCGCCGGGGAAGGAGCCGGAGTAGGGGAAGCGGGTGGGCATCCGGTGATTGTCCACTCATCTGTCGGTAGCTGCTCGTCGAGGACGTCCACGAGGTGGGGAAGAATACGGTTCAAGTAATCCTCGACGGTGCGGTCGAATCCGAATCCAACGTCGAAGAACGGCGATCGTATGACGTCGATATCCCCTTGATAGTCGAACAGAAATCCGTGGTCACGCTCTGGATCAGCTATACATGATCATGGGAGGGGAGAAAGATGGAGAGGAGGTGGTGGGTGGTGAGAGGGTCGGCCGAGAGAGGAGGGAGAGTGGTCGGGTAAGAGAGGAGGGGGCTGGTGGGACTAAGAAAGAACTAGGTTGGGTGGGGGAAATCTGAAATTAATTTCAGATTTCCTTAATTTAATTTGGACTTTGTAATTTCAAATTTTGAAATTTGAAATTTGGGCTTTAGGAGGGAAATTAGGAATTAATGGGGCCTTATTTGGAGCCATGAATTAAGCTCCTAATTAAGGGGAGGAGTAATGGGCGGCCGGCCATAGGGAGAGAGGGAAGTTTAGGTTTAGTAAGTGGGCCCCTCATGTGAGTAAATGAAGATTAAAACAAATCTGAAATTTGATTTTGAGATTTGCTCTACTAAGAAAGTTTTCAAAATGGTTTTAAGCATTAGGATACGCGGGAATCCAACAACTAATTGATTACAAAAAAAAGGCAACTTTCCTAATTGCTTAATATGTAAATTAGGAAATAAACTTGATGCATTTGAAATTGAATTTCAAATTATGGGAGCAGGTTGGCCGGTAGGCTGGTGTGATATGAAGGAAATATGAGTGGCATATTTGATATTAAAGTAGTATAGGGTGGTATATATGTAATATTAAAATTTTGGGTGTTAGATATGTAAATAGGATGGTATAAAATGATATGCATGTAAATTTCCCATCCAGTCAAAAAAAAAAAAAAAAATTAACGAAGCTTTGTCCCTGTATTTGAAACTCAGGATCTTGATGGCAAAAATAATTAAGGATCGATTGTATTCAATGAAATTTTTTCAAACTCAGATAGTAGGAGCCTTTTTTTCCCATCCAATGGAAAATTCACCAGTGAGATTTTACTCGAACCAGTTTCAAGTTTCCCGGAGCATTGTAAATTAATAGCAGAATCATATTAGTTTACCATTGCAATTTTTTTGTTTTCAGGTCCGGTACCTGAAAATCATTGAGAAGAGTGGCTACCAGGCCCTTCCATGGGTTAGATACATTACAATGGCAGGTGAATATGAATTAAGGCTCATGTAAGTAGTTTACGCCAGTAATGATTCTCTTATTTGTTTTGAAACCCAAGTATAAATAGCCTTACTGGTCACTTCCATGCCTTGGTGCTTGCCCACTTATTGCCATTTTGGGATGTTATGCCTTATAAACTTGTAAGGGTATTGCACATAACTGTGATCATACTTGTTTCATCTTCATAGTGATGTGTCCAATGTCTGTACTATTGTAGCTAAGTAGATAGGTGGGTTTGTTTTGCTTGATAAATAATACTCATAGAATGTAATTCTTTGATGTTATTTTGAAACCGTGAGCTTACAAACTTTTGACAGGCTTGTTGTCAGCAACTTTTTTCCTTATTTGATTCCAGCCGTTGAAATGCCTGTGGACTGTGATGCATTTTGATCTTAGAATGTGTGTGTAAATTTATGTTTCGTTTCGGACGGCTTTCTTTCTGCTTCTTAAAATAGCTTTTTAGTATAAAAATTTTAATTTTTGTATTAAAAAAACTGCTTCAAAAAGCAGAAAGAAAACCTTCCCAAACGAAGCCTTAATCTTTCTGGTAAATGTGGAATTTTCCATCAAGAGCTTAAGAAAATCACTATATGACCTTTTATGGTAATTTCTTATAATTCATAAGCTCATTTTTGGTGCTTAGGTGATTTTTTTTTTTCAATTACATTGCCAGGTCACTTACTCAAAAAATAATTTTGATATCATATAGTGATGGCTTATAATAGACTCATGGTTATGTCAAGGCACTGCTTCATTACTCTTTCTGAAGCCATTTAAAATTTCATATTTAGGCTGATTTGTTTAGGAGTCATGTCAATTTCATCATAGCTGTTGGTGGCCATCTTTTTTGTTTGTTGGGTTAGGAAAACCACAAACCAAACCCAAAGTTGAAGAGTGGTTTGGTTTAAGGATAATCAATTTGTTTCTATTTAAATAGCTTGAAGTGGTTGGCCATGAATTCAATAGGTGAGTTTCAAGCATGTAAAATGTTTGGTGCATTTTGAATAATGCATCAAACGTTTTGGTGCATTCTATTGAATGTGCCAAACTAAATGATAAGTTTGCTCCTTTTCAAATTTTATTTATTTCATGCTCCTAATTTATGTTATTGGCGTCCCAAATGAAGCCTATATATCATATAAGAGAGTTAGTTAGACTATAAGTTTATGATGTCTTAATCTAAAAATTCATTTTATTTAGAATGACACAATTTTTTAAAATTTTGGATGGCTAAATATTCGAATACTAAGTTTTTAGAATTGATAATGGGATCATCTAAATGTTAAGCAAAACTTCTCCACTTAGAAAATTATATGTCAACATGTAAACTCTTATACACTTGAATTTGTTCTATATTCTGATCATCATGCCTTCAAATTTTTCTTCCAAAAAAGAAAGAAAAAAAAAAAAACTTAACCATTTGCATGCATTAAAAGTGGAATTTGTCTAAGACTCTGTGTTCATTTTGAAGCATAAACCAAATAATCTTAAAAAAGCTTTTGATATCCTATCTTTTTTATTCTTTATATTTATAAAGTAAACTTTGTGATCCTATATTATCTTAGAGATTTCTTTATTAGTAACAAGGGCTGCAAGCGAATCAAACGTTTGATGAGCTACTCGTTTTCGGTTCGATTAAAGCTCTTTGTGATCGTTTAATTAACTAAACAAACAAACTTGAACAATATTTTAAATACTCGATTCTTAAATAAACAAACTTGAATATTAATGTGTTCAGCTCATTTATGTTCGCGAACAACATCATTTGAAGTTCGTGAACAAGCTCGACATTAAGCTCGATTCGTGTTCAATTTTGAACTCGTGAATAAGCTTGATAAAAATAATTAATATTTGACTATATAATTAATAAATAGACAATTACTTTTATTATAAAGTGTTCGCTCATAGATATGTTCATGAACGTGTTTGTTTGATTGTTAAAAAAAATTCGTTAAATATGTTCGCGAACAAGCTCGATAAGACTAAACGAACAAACATGAACTGAACATGAACCGAACATGAACACTCATTAATTTAAATGAACCAAACATGAACACAAACAATAAAGCTTGAACAAACATGAACCAAACTTGAACAAGCTGATATTAAATGAACACAAACATGAACACTCACATACTCGGCTCGGTTCGTTTGCAGCCCTATTAGTAACCCTTATTATAAGGCTATAGAGGGACACGCTAAAAGGATAAAATCATTAAGTAAATAGAATAAAAAAAATTTATGACATTCCTTAAAAAGATATTTCAAATGTGTCCTCGTCCATTGCCTCACTTACAAATTTGTCAAAATAACTAAGCAAAAAGCAAGCAAGTGCATTGCTCTCTTGGTTCCTTAACGACTGTGGGATGATCCTTCTTTTAAAGACACTTGAATGACTAAAATGGACTTAAATAAACTTCTTCTAGTTAAAAGGCTAGAGTACATTGAGGTCTGAAGGATTTGATGTAGTACTAACACAAGCTGAGGAAAAGATCACAAATCAAAGCAATATATTAAGATTCGGGCTATTAATCACGTACAAAAATTCATGCAAGTTTATAGAGGACCCGTCATCCCTCTAAAATTATCGAAGAATAATTAAGAAACTTAATTTGAGATCTCTTACTGGCCAGGTGGGTCAAACTCATCAAAGTAACTCATATCTTTAAGAATTGTTTGATTTCAAGACCACTCTATTTGTCTTATTTTGCTTCGCCAAATTTTCTTGCTTATAAAAGCTTAAAATTTTGTAATAATCTGTGTTTTCTTTCTCTTTGTATTAAGATAAATCATTAATCAATGTGATTCGACATAAAAGTTTTCTTAAATTGATTTGTCTTAAAAATGTGTATAAATAGGATATTACTTTATACTTTTAACTTCATTAAATAAAATTTATCTTTTACTTATGCAAATTTCTTGTGAAAAAAAATTGGAGGGTGATATACTCTTTTGTGAAATTTGATAGTTAATTCCCTTTGACTTTCACAAGTCTTAAATTATCTCTTTCTACTATTACTCCTTGCTATTAGCCTATTATTATAATTCCCCTCTCCTCTCTCTAAGTCATAACCTCTCTCAACTCTAAGAAATCTTAAATCCTATTAAAACTCTCCTACCCATTCTCCCACAATATTTATAATTTTTCATGACCTCAACTCTTCATTAACCTAAGGTATCATAATCAGAGGCTTAATATAGAGAGAGAAATTTTTAATATGAGTATTAAGATTAAAAATTTTACAACTTCTTAACTACTAATGAAAAACACATAAAAATATAATAATTAGTTCAGAACACACCAAACCTTTGATTTTGAGTTTCTCACCATTTCCTTTGAGAAAGACTTGCCCTTTCAAAGCCTAATAGTTTTTTAGCATCAAATTTGCTTGGACCTTAAATATCTTGTTTTTTTACTATCCACATAACATCTATATCATAACTCAAGAGGATGTCAATCAAATTATTGCTTTCATCATTAAGTTCATAAAGACCTTAACATAAATTGGGACTTTGCATTGGAGTGAGGACCTTACACCCTTTGCAAGGTGAAATATTATGTGGTCACTGAACGCCGTCTAGAGGCCAATCATGACATGTCATGTCACTAATATGTTGTGTATCGACACTATGTACTGCTGTGTATTGAGTGACGCGATGCGTCCTCATTGACCTCTAAACGATATGATCCACCGCACGTAATAATCTCTCTTCCTTTAAGGAATAATTATTAGGTCCGGACACCTGATGTGCCAATAATATCAGGACCTGACCCAGACCGGAATCTGGTATTGCTATGTTCGGGTATTGCTAGGTATTACTTGGTAGTAATAATAAATATCGCTCTATCAAAACCAATACCTAGCAATACCGAGTAATACCTAGCAAAATCGGAGTATTGCTAGGTATTGGTCTTGACAGATTGATATTTCTCATTATTGCCGACCAATATTGAACAATACCGAGCAATACCTAGCAATACTTAGCAAAACCCCGATCTGCACAAATCAGCCAATACATAGCAATATCGGGTATGGGTCGTCGGGCTGCACGGTAAAAAATAAGAGCACATGAAGACATGTTATTGACGTTCAGATGTAGAGCTACGTCAGATGTCCGGACCTAATAATTATTCTTCTTTAAAGTTCAAAAAGATAATATATTTGTTGTTTATTCAATTGCGGCGATTTGTTTACAGTAAAAAAGCCAGTTTCAAACTAAGCCTCGCCATCCACCTAATTGCCTCTCCCGGGAATTCTTTGCGAATTATGAATCGCGCCTGTAAACTCCTGCAAAACCCCCCCGCCGGAGCTCCACCGCCTCCTCTCCCCTCCCTTCTTCCTCCCTCCCTCAACCCTTCCAATATCGTCATTAACCTCACTTCCTCTCGGCTCCACCTCGTCTCCTCCCCTTCCTCTATTCCCTCTCTCATTCCTCCCGATCTCCTCCCCTTCCTAGGACCCTCCGAGCTCTCTTCCATTCTTCTCCGCTCCCAATCCCTCCCCCTTCCTTCCCTCCACCTCCTCTCCTTCTTCCACTCCCAACGCCTCCTCACCCCCTCCCCACACCACTTCGCTCTCCTCGCCCACTCCCTCACCTTCTCCCGCCTCTTCTCCCACTGTCTCTCCACCCTCCGCCACCTCATTCTCACCCACCCCGCATCCGACCCCTTCTCCTCCCTCCTCACTTCCGCCTCCTCCGGCCGATGCAACTTCCACTCCGCCGTCTTCTCCCTCCTCGTTACGGCGTACCTCCATCTTGGCTTCCTCCGCCAAGCTCTCGATGCTTTCCACCGCTCCATCAATGCCGGATTCCCTCCGGATGCGATCACCTCCAATTCCCTTCTAAATTCACTCGCAAAGTCTGGTGATTTTGATAGTTGCTGGGAGGTTTACACCGCGATGCGGAAGGCTGGCGTCACGCCTAATCTTTGCACTTTTAACATAATGATCAACGCGCTGTGCAAAGCTGATGATGCCGTGAGGGCGAGAGAGTTCTTGGAGGAGATGGAAATGAATGGGTTTGATCCCGATGTTGTCACTTATAACACGCTGATTAATGGGTATTGCAGGAAGGGGAGGTTAGAAGAGGCATTGGGATTGTATAAACTAATGTATCGAAGAGGAATAGAGCCGGATTTGGTGTCCTACACTACTCTGATGAAGGCGCTCTGCAAGGAGGACAGGGTGCGGGAGGCACACCAGCTGTTTGATAGATTGCGTCAGCGAGGTCTAATCCCAGATGAGATGTGCTATGGAGTTCTGGTGTCTGGTTACTCCAGGAAAGGAAAGATGCGGGAAGCTTGGATTTTTATTCAGGCAATGATTGGTTGTGGCTACTTTCCAAATAGTTTTATTTGCTTGGATGTGGTGAAAGGTTATGCAAGTGTGGGAAAGCTTCTTCCTTGTTTGAACATTCTTGCTCAGCTTCGAAAGATTGGGGCAACTGTTGCATTTGATGCCTATAAGCTTCTTGTTGGCGCTCTATGCCATGAAAAGAGGCCAAATGCTGCAAGGAATCTTGTGAAGTGGATGGTTGAAGATGGGTGCAAACCCACTGTAGATATATATAATGAAATCATCCATTCTTTTTGTGATTGTGTGTCGTTAATGGATGCCTTTAGTCTCAAGGATGAGATGGTTGAGACAGATATTAGGCCTGATGAAAACACATACAGTATTCTCATTAGTTGTCTCTGTAAAACCGGTGAGGTGATGGAGGCTGAATGCGTAATGGAAGAAATGGTTGCTTGTGGACACATTCCAGATTCTGCAACTTGTGCTGCCTTGGTTAATGGATACTGCAACAAAAGAGAAATGAGCAAGGCTGAAGGACTTTTGAAGTACTTTGTGTTAGAGTTTGGGTTTCATGACAATGCTATATTTAATGCTCTAATCAATGTTTATGCTGAAGAAGGGGATATGGAGAAGGCTTTTGAGCTGAAAGACAGGATGATGAAACTGGGTTTTGTTCCAAATACTGAGACGTGCAAGTTCTTGGTTAATGGACTGTTTAGAAATATATCTACCTTAAATGTGTAACAACCGGGCTTTATTAATCAAACCTCTTAGAAACCAGTCTCCTACACCGGACTTAGAAAAAAGCAGGATGAGTAGCTGTGCGTCCGAGCTGTCTGATGAATGAAAAGAATTTTCAGTTGATGATCCTTGTGATGTCTCTGTTGAAAGGGAGCCGAGGATTTATTATTCTGTGCGGAGTGTGGACGGCATCAGGAGACCAATAAAAAAACGCCATCACCTCATTGGTGGGTACCCAGCTCAGTACCCGCACCGATACCGTTGGATGCCCAGTACTTAACCGGACGGTTCTCCCGTCCTGTCCCGTCTGGTGTCCGTACAAAATAAAAGAGGTCATCAGAGAAGGAGCCGGGGATGGAAGAAAAGAAGCAGATGGAAACAGAACATATCCATGGAGTTGTGATGCCGACACCATGGTAATGGAGACAGTAGAGGACATACTTGAGAGAGAGAGAGAGCCCGCCATGCAAACTTGCACTGCCATCATCATCTGGAATTCAAACTTGCACTCAGTAAGGATTATCTTAACGGGTTTAAATATGTGGAAATGCATGAAGAACAGCAACTTAAAATAGTCGCATACAAACTTAGATTTGAGGTTGCCTCTTGCTGAAAACAATCGACGACCCATTGAGGAAGATGAGTGGGCAAATGCCCCAATGGCCGCTTACATGTAATGCGTAGGATGTTGACCTCATTTTTGCTTACATCTCTTACAACTAGAATTTACAATTGAAATATCTTTGGGAGTAGTAATATGTAAAAGGGAGATTATTATCATTCATATTGAAGGAATTAAAATAAAGTACTATGTCCCATCAAATTGGTGCATCACCTCCAACATTTAAATTTAATTGATTTTTAGTTGTCTCTATACATTTGTGTCTAAAATCTATAACATGTTCAAGAGAAATACTTACTCAAACCATCAATCTATTGCTCTATTTCTTAGTAAATGTCCAATGCACTTCTTTCCATGCTCCTTCATATAGCTCATGAATATTAATATTTAATATTTGATTCACCCTTATAAATGACCACTATCTACACCTCATATTCAATGCCAAAACATCTACTTTCCAAATATGTTTGAATAACCTTCAAACTAGGTTTTAATGGTATTCAAGTTTTGCATGTTGATCAAGCCTTATTAGAACCCTTCTCTTCGATTTATGCATTAGGTCGCAATCAAAATGTCCTTAGTTTGATTGCTAACATTCAAGATAAAATAAATAAGTCATTACGTAATCGCTTGGATCACATGTTGGACTTCCATTCAAATGTGAAAAAAAAAAAAAAAATCTTACCAAGAATTATCAAAATTGATGTTAAACTAAGGCTTTGTCTGGGACGATTTTTGTGTTGCTTCTTGAAGTAGTTTTTTGGTAAAAAAATTTAATTTTTGTACTGAAAAACTACTTTAAGAAGCAACAAAAAATTATCCCAAATGAAATCAAAATTGCCCCATTAACTTCATTGTCATATTCTTATATTTTTATAAGAAGAAATTAAAAAAAAATGATAAAATTAGCAAGGAAGAATATATAAAATTAAAAAGGACATAATGACATCATTAAATATTTTTCAGTGGGAAATATTAGATAATTAAAATATAGGGATAGCAAATATTTATTCAGAGAAGAAACTTTCAAGTAAATATTATCACATAAAGAAATAATTAAAATATTTTTTTTATTAAATATACCATGAGTTTATAACTTTTTGCAGTTTTAATATTAAATAAATATATTAAAATACATTAATATATTTAATATACCCTCAACCTTAAGCCTCAATGAATCTAATAATTTATAACTTTTTCCGGTTTTAATCTTTTATATATATATATATATATATATATATATATATTTGCATCCGGCCATTGCGAGTTCGCGGGAGAAAGGGAGACGGAACGGCCGGGAGAGCGGGAAGATGGACATTAGGGTTCGTGCCTTGGTAGAGGCCATCCATTCGAGCCACACGCAGGCCGTCATCTTCCTCGCAGGTGGAGCTTCGCAGGTCCTCTCTCTCTTGATCATTATGACCATCTGATCTTGAATTGGAAATGGAGTAATGTATTTGAATTGCAGGCATTGGGTTGGCTCATGTCTGTGCCTGGAGCTTCTAATACAATCCTCGAAGTCCTCATCCCTTACTCCAAGACTTCCATGATCCAGTTGCTCGGAAAGGTATCCACTTTTACCGGAAGAAAAAAAAAATGAAATCCTAGCTAATAGGGCATTTTTGCCATGAAAATAATTTAACCTTCTGTAGCAGAAAGTTTTTTTTTTTTTTTTTAAGAAACCATTCAAGCACTAAATAAATGGTCTTCTGTACAGACACAGGGCACAACTTATCGTTCAGAGACGAATCAGGTGCAGTCACATCATTCAGTATTGGAGAAAGAAGTATGAATATTTGGTCATTGGAGTTACATGGTGCTTGAGCTCTACTCATGAGGCTTGCCAGAGAAGGAGATTATGATGCCAACCCGTGAGCTTTCCTTGCCAAAAGAAGATGTTGAAGAAGCATTTTTTAGGAGAAGAGAGGTGCGGGGTTTTAAAAAAAAGCTAATAATATTTAAAAAAAAAACCTAAACTAAAACAGTTGTTTGCTTTTATGCATTAAATGCAATTAATACTTGGTAGCCTTTTTAGCTGCCTTTCAAAAAATAGCTGATTTTTTTAAAAATTAATTCAGTTGTTAATTATCATTTTTTAATACTAGTCTAATTAAGTCAACTTAATTTAAAATTGATGGTTCATATTGATAATTGTGCTAAGTCTATTGGGAGTTGAAATTAAGAGGCCAAAAAGGTAATAGGGGTAAAACCTATGGTAAGGAGCATTTAAGTTCTATGATACTTGAGCATGAACATAATAAAATTTAGTATTACTTGAACTTTGTATTCCCTTCCTAAACAAAGTTTTAGAATCGATGTTATCTCATGGGTGCTTCCATATGATGCCATAAAAGGACCACCACATACTACTCAAAGAATTGCTCGTGCTTCTTGAGGAAGTTGAGGAGCTCACCATCAATGTAAAGCTCCATTACTACATGGTCTTGATCTTGAGCTTGGGTTTGTGGAATTCTTTGATGATATGAGTTTATTCTCGATGATTTGACTTTGGAGTAAATATTTTTGGCATGTTACACATATCACATTTTTATGTGCAACAAGAGAGAGAGAGCAAAATAGAAGAGAGTGTGTGAGAGAGACATTCACTCATTATCTCTATAATACCTACCTAATTATTTAGGATATTGTTGCTGCTCACAAGTGTCTAATTGCCAAATAAAAATTGTATTTTTTAATTATTTTTCTTTGCTTTCATCTCTCAATCAACAATAGAACCAATTAGCTTTTCTCTTATTAAAACTCTCAATTAGGAGTGCAACCTCATTTTTATTCTTTTCTTTTATCTCTCAAATTCTTTCTTTTCTTCTCTTACCCAATTTCCATGCGTCACTTTTTTTAATATTTTTAAAAATTTTCTGTACTTTGGCTGTGCTGTTTATTTGTGAAATGAAGTATTTTTCATAAGTATAAAGTGCTAAGAGTCTGTTTGGCATTGCCAATGATTGAAGCAACTTGGGTGATTTTATTGGAAAAGTTTATTGTATAAATTTCTAAAATGCAAACTATTGCTTCATTAAAGTGCATATGTATCTGGCTTTCAGATTCCCATTCAGTATAGCAGTCAAGAAACGGTGGAGGAAATGGCAATTTTAGCATACAATCGTGCCCTAAAACTTTCCAGACCTGGTAAACATGTACTTGGTTCATTTTAAAAAAAAAATGTACTTGGTTCATTGTTGAAACTCTGTAGGCTTGTAATTTTACTGTTGTTCATACTTCTTTGTGTTACTTATCTTCTAGAATTTACATTCAACACTTTGATATTAATTTGATTGCAATACTTAACCATCATATGAAAGGGCTTATGTATTTGAAATTGAGATCATAGTACATTTGTGAATATTCTGAAACCTTTTTGAAATATTCCTATTGAAGTAAAATGTCATTTTTCTTACTGTTAATATTTTTATCATAATGATTCTAAAATGATAATAGCATTGATAAGTTCGATCTAACTATGAACAAAAGGCAATTTTTTTTCATTATTGACTGATTACAAGCATAAGAAAATAATGAACTTGGTACGCTTAATGATGAGACAAATCTACTTATTCTTCTTATGACAAATATATGACAATAGATATGATTAGTAATCAAACAATCATATATCATTATAAAAAAGAGTAATGGGGAAAGAGAGAATTATTTTTTCGTTATTACTTTCTTATGTTGCCTTTCTATAAGCACATTAGTCTTAGAATCATAATTCAATTAAATAAAGATGCAATATTTTTCACCCTCAAATTCTCTAACTAGCTAGCCTCATTTTTTTTGTCAGTTGTATGGGTAAGAAACAATATCAGACTCAAGATTGCACATATAAAATTTACCTAAATGCAAGATCATTTATCATCCACAAAAAATACTTTATATTGGATGTATGATTATCATGCCATAAATTGAATTTCAAAATCTATATATTTGATTTTATTTTAATAATAACCACTATAAATAATAGAGGAAAAAAATTTAACAATAACTGCTAATTTTCCATAATAACATAAGAATAAATAAAGAAGAAGAAGATGGTGACTCTTACCAAATTTGGATTCGGTGACCAAGTCTCTTCCCCACATTAAACACCTGATCCTTGTTACAAAGTGTTAAACCGGTCCAAGGTGAACCAGTCAAGCCGACCATAAAATAGGGACGGCCCCTGGTCTATTCTAGGCAGACCAGAAAGTAGCCGGCCCCCCATGTGGACCCATGATTTAATGGAAATTTTAAATAGGAGGGTGTGGTTTAGGAAGGAAATTAATTTAGGAAGTTCTGTTTAGTAATTATGCTTTGATTTTATTTTATCTAAATAAGGGGAAAGTTTTAGAGTTTGGGTTATGTTGAATGTTTGCTGAATTTAGGAGTTCCTTAGGTTTGCTTGGGCTCTAGTCATCGGCTAGAGATTGTGAAAGCCAGATCTTCCTCTCGAATTGAAGATCCATTGTATCATGCTTGTTTTCGTCCACTTTTCTTCTATTATTAAGTTTTCCAACTGATTTGCTAAGGAATTTCTTCAAACTCATGCTTTGTTCTTGCTGAAATCCCTAATTTCAACCATTTTTTGGTGAATTCTCTACTTTTTTCCTATCAAATTGGTATAAGAGCACTTTCTTGGGCGGAAAAACAAGTCTTCTTCATTGTTTTTGAAATTGGAACTTAGATCCAATTAATAACAACAAAGAAGATGGATGCGTTGGAAGGCGAGATGGAATAACTCAATGCTGGAGTAGAGGAAAAATATTCCGGGGTGGAGTGAAGACTCTCGGACATGGAGAACTGGTTTGAAAACCTTAATAATATGATGAAAAAGATGCTCGAGATGCAATCGAAAGCATCCCAACGATGCCTATGGTGGAACCACGAGGAAAGGAGTTTAGGAGGACGACAATGAATTGGGGAGTGTTTTCCATTAAGGACGACCACGTGGAGCCCTGTTGGTGGGCATATCGCATTATTCTGAAGGGAGGACAACAAGGAGGAAGAAAGCCGACCCTTTTGGGAGATTATTTGGGCATGATGAGAGGTGTAATGGAGAAGGGCATGGTTGGGGGGAGCCATGGGGTTGAAACCAACCATGGGAGGAAGGGAATCACACCTCCACTACACCGGGGGAACTAACAGGGGAAGGAACCAATGGGGTACGGATGCAAGGGCAAGGAAGCTAAAGTTGCCGTCTTTAAAGGGAAGGATGCTCAGGGTTAGGTGTATCAGGTGGAACGTTACTTTGCCATCAATGGGCTGCTGAAAGGGAGAAACTTATGGCGGAGGGTCTATGTTTGGAAGGGAAAGCCTTCACTTGGTTTTAATAGAGGGAGGCGAGGTATCTGATCTACTCTTTGGAATTTAAGGAGTGCTTGTTGGAACATTTTCTAACCATCCGGGAAGGGGACCTCCACGAGCAGTTCTTTGTCCTAACTTAGGAGGGGACATGTATGGAATAACAGGAGAAATTTGAACTACTGTTAGGAAGACTAGGGGAATCTTTGATGAAGGATTGGAGGGAAATTTCATGAAGGGGCTTAGAGAGGACATACGGGCAGAATCTAGGATATTGAGGCTTAGGTGGCTAAGAGAGATGATGGAGCTGGCTCAAAGGGTGCAGGAAAAATATAAGAGGGAGAAATCCATCAAAAGTATAACTATGGGAGGGGCCTATCGGAGTACCCCTACAACTCTAACTCTTATAACCCAAACAATATCCTTCTAGAGAGAAGCTAATAGGGAGAAGAGCGGTGGAGTTCTCCGCCGGGGTGGGGTTCAAGCAACTCACACAGGCGGAGGTGCAAGAGAAACGGGCAAAGCGATTATGTTTTAGATGCGATGAGAAGTGCACGCCTGAGCATATGTGTAAGGACCGAACTCTTTAGGTTCTGTCTGTTTGTGATGATGAGGAAGCTGAGGAGCGAGATGGGTGTGAGGCATTGGTAAAGGAGGAAAAGCTACATTTAGACATGGTTGAGGTCTCCTTGAACTTAATGGTTGGGTTCACTCCGAATCACACTATGATGGTGAAAAGAGAAATAATAGACAAAGAGGTAGTTGTGCTTATAGATAGTGGGAACACCCATAATTTCATCTCCAACCAGGTCGTAGACCTATTGGGGTTGAAACTGGTGGACACAGGGTGCTATGGGGTGATGATGAGAACAGGGAAGATGGAGAAAAGTAGAGGGGTGTGTAGGGGAGTGGTCTTAACCATACAAGGAATCCAGGTGAGGTAGGATTTTCACCCATTGGAGCTGGGGAGCACTGATGTCATCCTGGGAATGAGATGACTGCAGACCTTGGGAGACACCAAGGTGAATTGGGGGATGCTGACAATGGAAATGATGGTGGAAGGGAGGAGGATGGTGATTAAGGGAGATGCTGGCCTCTCCAAAGCCATGGTGTCACTAACAACCATGGTAAAAGCCATACAAGAGGGAGGGAGGGAGGGAGGGAGGAGGATTTTTTGTGGAGCTACAGAACTTGGAGGGGATTAGAGGAGAGGAAGGAGGGGACATCCCCCATTTTAGTATAGTCGGTTATACAATAACTCCGTGAGGTTTTTCAGTCACCTCAGGGGTTGCCACCATTGAGGGGACAAGAGCATGCCATCATGCTGAGGGAGGGGATATCAGTGATCAATTGCAGGCCTTACCATTACCCTCAGATCCATAAGGAGGAAATTGAAAAGCTAATTCGGGAAATATTGGGAGGCTGGGATCATCAGGCCGAGCATAAGCCCTTTTTGTAGCCCAGTTCTACTAATTAAAAAGAAGGATGGAAGTTGGCATTTTTGTGTGGACTATCAGGCCCTGAATATGGAGATTATGTCAGATAAGTTTCCTATTCATGTGATAGATGAGCTTTGTGAGCAATAGTATTCATGAAGGTGGACCTGAAGTTCGGATACCATCAGATTCGGATGAGAGAGAAAGATGTTCCGAAGACAGCTTTTAGGACACATGAGGGACACTATGAGTTCTTGGTGATGCTGGTGGTGGAGAAGTCAACCACTATGAGAGATTTTTTGGGCAAATCAGAAGAGGGGGGTGGGCCGAGCCATGGGGATCGGGTCATGTGAGGAGGATAGAAGAAAAGTGGGAGTTCCACCCTCAATGCATAGAGGAAACATGGAGGGATCACGACAACCGCTACACTAGATGAGGAAGAAGTAATTGGGGCGACAACAATCATAGGTAAGAAAGTTGAAGATGTGAGTGATTAAGGAGAAGAAGGGTGAGAATTCAATAAGTGATACACAAGCTCCTTCCGAGGGTAAAGGGATCGACAAAGATGTGAATGAAGAGGGTAAAGAAATAAACTTGCAAAGCCAAGGTGATGGTACTAATCAAAACCTAAGTCTTGTGCAAAGTGATTCTGCCAAGACATCCACATCCAAAGAACCTGCATTCTCAGAATTCAAAAATGAAGATTTGAAAGACATTGAAACCAAGTCAACGTCTGAGACTGAAACATAAAAAGTTAAAGCATCTTTAGTTTTTATTGATGGGGGTGTTTCTGAAGATGGAAATGTTGAGATTGAGACACAGGATGTAGCTAATATAGACTGTGATGTGTGGAAATGTGATGAAGCCAGTAGATTCAAAGGATGAAATTCAAGTTTTTGTTGTTCTAAGTCAATTGGAGATAGACTGTGATGTGTGGGAGCATCTATTATTTCAAGCTGAAGAGATTCTAACAGTTTCACATGATGAATCCCTTGTGGAAATGATTTCCTTTGTATTTAAAGCTGCAACTCAATACTAGCAGTTTCCTCAAGTTGTCAGAGTTGTACGTTCTAGGCTAAAAAGCCTTGGTGCTGATGTTGCAACTTGTGTTCTGGATATTTTAACGAAAACGTTACATACTTGGACTGATATAGCTGCACTGTTTTTAAGAGAAATTGACTCTGATTCTGAGTTTGATGGAAGCTGCCTTGCCTTAAATTGTGGACATTTTTCCTGTGGTGTTAACAAACTTCCTCCGAAACCTACAGATCAAAGGCAAGGCCATATCATGCATGGGTGCTTGCATGTCGGTGATGTGTACATATTGGTTGAGATCTTATCTGTCCTTGGTTTATTTGTTGAAGCTTTAGAAGTTTTTGAAAGAGCTTTACTTAAAGGGACCATTGGACTGCAATCGGTGGCCATGGTTTTAGAAAACAACATCATTCTCAGAAGCTAGGTGTAAGGTTTAGGCTTGGCGCTGATGACCCACGTAATTAAGAAGTTCTGCTAGATGGAAATGACGAGCCGTTTTCCATCCAAGAGGATGATTTTGCTTCAATGCTTTCACTTGGTGGAATATTATTTGTGCCCATACATCATAGAGATCAGGATTTTGGGAGGATGCTATATGCTATAATGTTAAAAATATAATCTGAAGAGAACTACAAACTTCGGATGTTGAAAGGGCTTCTTGATCGTGCCATTAATAATGCTTCTAAGAGTAGCCAAGGATTTAACATTGGATGTGTTGGTATTTCTGGTTGGGGAGAAAAAAGTGATTGCTAGTCCAGTCCTTAACATGATGCGTAAGGTTGCACAGCTTACACAGGCTGATCGTGCCTCTCTTTAGCACCAGTTTTGTGCCACTGAGGATGAGCTTATTTGTTCACTAGAAGAATGGAAACTTGAACACAAGAAATTGGCTAGGGAAAGTGTTGATTTGATTCATAGACGAGTAATTCTAGTCTTAAGATTGAACTGAAAGCTGAATTAGATCTATTGGCTTGTAAAAATAAAGAACTATCTAAACAGATACTTGATGTTGAAAATCAACTTGAATGGATCAGATCAGAAAAATAAGAGAAAATAAAAAGGTTCTCTACTAAGCGAGGAGTCCTTCAGGACTACTTTCATGAAGTAGAGACACAACTTTCACAGTTGGAATCTAGGAAACTCGTTTCTGAAGTCAGAATGAAAGGATACCAAAAGAGGGTTGGCAATCTTGGTATGCCCAATGCGGTTCAGGACAACTGCTCTGTCAGACAAGTACTATAGTTTGTGCATTAAATGAAATAATATACAGATTGGCAGACCATTCAGTTAGTTCATGTTTGAAATTGTTTAAAACTGAAAAAAATGTTGAAGAAGCACTGAGAAAGGAATTTTTTTGTGATATAGATCTACTTTCTACTTTCAGAAGGGCATCCTGAAAAGTTTATCAAGGAAAGGGCACCAGAGAACACATAATTCATTGTGTTGGGAGTATTCTGCATGAGTATACATCATATGAAGTATGTGAACTCCCTACATATCCAACTTCTTCTCAGCTAGAACATTACTTAAAACCAAATCTCTCATCATATATTTCCAAAGATTTTAGAATGCTTAACCCAAAAGATGAGGATGAGATGGTGGCCAGCTACGATATTTGTCAGAGGCATGAATGCATGGCGATTGTTCCAGGAGGACTCCTAGATGGACGATACCTTCGTTCCACCTTGAGGGCAAGGTGAGTTTTTGGGAGGGGAGTATTGATACACCAGGGGTGAACCATCTTGTGGGGCCTAGGGGAGCTATTATTCATTATGTATGGAGTAATTAATGGGAGCTGTTTATGAAAGCTTCTAATTAAGGGGAATATTATTTAGGGATGTTTCCTAAAATATGTTTAATTGTTTAGGAATGTTTCCTAAATCATGTTTAATTGTTTAGGAATGTTTCCTAAATCATGTTTAATTATCTAGGTCTTTTGGGAGAGAAGATCTTCCTCTCTAATAGTAGATCACGTGTACCTTGATTTCATATTGCAGAAATAATACAAAATCAATCACTGTTTTGGGCATTCCTGCAGTTTTCTATTGATTGGGTTGTTGTTTTTAACTTCCAAGGCATATCAGTATCCTTAAAAAGCAAAAATAGAGAAGCTTAAGCTGCCCCAAACAAAGTCTTAGTTATTGCAAAGTGCTGAAATTTTAATTGTCATTTTGAAGTTTATCCAAATTTGATTATTTTACTTATTTTCATGCATAAAGATATTTTCTTGTTGCTTTACTTGATTCAGTTGATTGCTATGTATTAAAAGAAAGTTCACAATGCCATTATTGAGCTATTTGAAATTTTTTTCCTTTTGATTTCAATCTTTGCTTGAGCTTTCTATAGTCAAAGGACATGATAGTGGTTGATTACTATGTCATATGTTATGCTCTCGTTGTATATTGCTTTTGTTGAATGAATACAATTGTTGAAGTATTTATCACTTAGATATGTCAATTCTTCGTGCTTCCATACTTACTAATGTCCTAAATCTCAGGTGCATAGGCAAGGCGCTCCAGTATATATTATTAGTAAAGAGTGTAAATTCATCATTAATCTTGATATTTCAACTTTTGTAGTTTTTTTATTTTGCTCAAGAGTGAGTTTGGTTTATAACTTTATATCAAGAAGGCATCTATAGATTTGATTTTTATGCTAAGAAAATTAATGAAAAATTATAGAGTTTAATGAAAATATTTTAGTATGATTTTTGTTGATATTTAAAATGAATCTGATTGAGTACCATAATAATTAATTTTGGTGAGAACTTAAAAAACAAAACACCTAAGGTATGTTGAAGTTATTAAGGATTTTTATGTTTCTGTAGTGAGTAGCATTATAAGTAGTTGTGAAGTGACTAGAGAACTTTCAAACACATCAGCAATGGATCATGATCTTTATATGCTGTTATTTCTTTATATTGGTTATTGAGATGTCTATGAAAATATAAAATATGAGGGACCTTGGTGTGTTGCATTTTCAAATGACATTTACTGAGGGCAATATGTTATGTTAAATATACTTGGTCATGTGCTCTTGTCATTTTTATGGTTAGAAATCATTTGGTTATCTGGCAATCGTGTGCTCTTGTCATTTTTGAAGGAGATATTAGACGTCATTTTACCTTTGTCTAATAAATTTTCACATTAACTATTGAGATTAATATAATTCTATGTTTGCCATTGTATCCAACTGTTGCGTGCTTCAGTATGCTTTGCAAGTGTATCCATTGCATAACAAGTATGTTGTTGTGTGTAGGTTTGACAGTTGTTGGTGTTGGCTTTACCGGGACTTTGGCTAGTGCACGACCAAAATTTGGGGATCATAGGTACCCTTCAAATTTTTTGTGACTTCTCTATTGCAATCACATAAATTTGCATTATAATGAAATTGCTCTACATCATAATCATATGCATAATCTTCTGCATCCTACTTGTAACTCAAATAGGTTAGTTACACAATATCCTAAGTGCTTATTTGATGGAAACAAAGAAGATGTGATAAGATTTTAGAGTTTGTTGATTTTATGAGATTTTTGTAACATGATATTTGTAAATGAACTATTCAAAGGTTATTATAGCAAGGCGGCATAATTCAAGGTATTGTGAATCACTTTTGACTTGATTTGACTAATGCGAAGTTTCAACTATGCCATTTTGATATTTGTAAAGGAACTATTCAAAAGTTATTATAGCAAGGCGGCATAATTCAATGTATTGTGAATCACTTTGGACTTGTTTTGTTACGATTCAAGTCTCAACTATGTCATTGATAGATATTAGGGTTGAATCTTAGATAGATTTAAAATAGGCATTTAAGTTTCTCATGAAAAGTGATGAATAACTGACATGAAATCTTACTCCTACTGGGAGTATTCTTAAGAAATATGATCCTAGCCTACACGAAATCTTCTTATCTTTATTTTCTTGCAACAATTTGATTTTATGAGGTATCAATGAGGTCCTGTTTACTTATATCAGGAAGATGGTTAGGGGAAGATGTGAAAATGATCGAGAATATACTATCAAATATCATTAATATATTGGATTACTTAAATTTAGCATGACCATTGACTTATATTTATGAAAATTGATATATTAGTGATCACAAAGAATCAATAAATTAAATATCTATGCCACAAAAAAATCAAATTACTATTGTTGAGGTGGAAGATTGACAATATGACTTATTTGGAGGAAATATAAAGTTATGAAAAAACAATCAAGATTTTGAAAAGGAAAGAAAGATTGATTTTTTGAAAATGATGGATATTTTTTGTTTGAAATAAAAAATGTAAAGTAGATATGTAATATCCTCATCATCCTCACCAGCTCTAAGCACACAAAATACATGAACATGAGTAAGCGTGGACTAAAGTAGCAATTCAAAACCAAACCTTTCAACAATACAACTTCTTATTTGGCTTCAATGCAACAATGCACTCAACATCATCTTTACAAAATGCCAACTGGCTGCAAATTAGCATTCCCACTAACAGTGTTTTAAACACCTGAATTATAAAACTTTTAAGGGATCTTAGAGTATAAAAACAATCAGCAAAATCTGATTTTACATTATAATCACTTTATTTATAATATCAGATTTTTCACAACTCAATTCCAAGTTATCATGGTTGTATTTAAGTACCTTAGCACTCATCTAGCAGCTTTCCAATGATGGCTCCTTAGATTAGCCATGACCTATTTAAAACAATAAACCAAATATATCCTATAACAAATCATAGCATTCATGACTACACACAATATTTTGGGCATTGATCTTCTGCATATATGATCTTTGAACATTATCACCTCATATTTGATCCTTGCTCAACTTTAAAAAAAAATTACTGATGGGGAAGAAAGATGCCGCCATCCCATCCCTGTTCACAATTTTTTTGATGCATGTTGCTTGTGACAAGAACAATTATTATCTTTCTTTATTGATGATCTCCATTACAACATTTTTTTTGTAGGACCAAGATTCATTTCAAACTCCACCCAGAGCAAGACTTTCAATCATGTGATTTCCTTAGAGCTAGCACTTGCAAGTAACATATCATCAACGTAATCTAAAAAAAAAAGATTGTGTTATTAACCTCCTCGGATTTCATATATACATAAGAATCATAATTGTTGTGGGTGAAGCGCATAAAAAGCATATACTCATCAAATCTTTTTACCACATTCTTGGAAATTATTTCAACCCATCCAAGAACCTTTTTAGCAAACATGCGTAATTTTAAGTTCTATTTTTAGCAAATCCTTTAGGCTAATTCATGTATATAACCTTCTTCAAATCTCTATGCAAGGAACAATTATTAGGTCCGGTGACCGGACGTAGCTCTACGTTTGGTAACCACTGAGTTACCCGGTATTTGCTCGGTATTGCTTGGCAATAACAAGAAATACCGCTTCGTGAAGACCAATACCGAGTTTTTCTAGAAAAAACTCGGTATTGCTCGGTGTTGCTCGGTATTACTTGGTATTGCTCGGTATTGCTTGATATTTGTCTTCACATAATGGTATTTCTCGTTATTGCCAAGCAAAATCAACAAATACGTGGTTTTGTGCCTGCTATGTGGCGCGATTTAGTGCCGGCCGAACGTAGCTCTACGTCCTTTCACCGGACCAAATAAAAGTTCCTATGCAAGAATGTTGTTTTAACATCCATTTGCTTAAAGTGCATGTCAAATTGTATAGCTATGGCAAAAATAGCACATATAAATGCTTGCCATATAATTGGAGAGAAAATTTTAGCGTAGTCTATACACTTTTCTATTATAAGTTATATTACTATAAGCCTAGCTTTGTATCTTTGCTCTTATACTCTAGGAGTTCTATCATTCTTCTTGCACAAGCATTTTTAAGTAACGATCTTATTTCTTGACTTTTTTTACCAACTCCCAAGTGTTATTCTTTTTAAGAAAGACCACCTCTTCATTCATGAGTTGTTGCTATTTATTTATTTTTGTACTTTTTATTGCTTTTTATTGTAACTTGGTTTATTACCTGATTAAAAACTAGCCTAAATGTATAAAAAATTATATCGTCTTAGCCATATCATTATGGTGCATGAATCATATGCCTAGGTTAATCCCTTCAGGAAATGCCAAACAAAATACTTTTCTTTGCATCTCCACAATGATTTGCTGTCTGTGCTATTTAAGATCCACCTTAGTTGATTTTTTCATTATTTTTAAGAAGTTCAAGATTCTTTGACCACTTCACCTTAAGTTGCAATTCCTAGTTTGTATCTATTGTCTTTGAGCCATAATTCTTAGAATTAAATCAGCCATTTATTGTTCATTTAAAAACAACATCCCTATTGATCAAACATTGAGGATGATCTAGTTCCAAATGCTATAACTTATACCCTTTTACATCATTAGGATATCTAATGAGCATAAACAATGTGATAGGAAGTGGATACAATTTTCCTCAAAATCAGCGAATGACAATAAGAAATTAGGAAGATGAACACATCAAAACTCTTTTTATTGCAAGATATATGAAAGAAAACAACATGATATAGTTGGATCTTCAATTGGAGAGGAAGATCCGACTCTCCCAAATCCTTTGTTGGCGGCTAGAGCCCTTTGAACCTTAGAAATTTTAATTTCAGCAAACTCAAAACATAATTCTGAAATCAACCCATTGTTAGCCTTAAATAAGCTCCTCTAATTCCCTTCTAAATCAGCCATCTTTCCGTAAATAATTCCCTCCCATATTTGAATTCAATGTAGATCTATTTCCCTAAATAATTCCCTCTTAATTATAATTAAAACTTTCCTAAATAATTGTCCTTTGATTCCTCCTCTGTTTCCCTAAATAATTCCCTCTTAGATTTTTGAATTCAAATTAAATCTCTTGCCTTAAATAATTCTCTCCCAATTGTAATTAAAACTTTCCTAAATAATTCTCCTTTGATTAAGAACCTTCCTAAATAGCTCTCTCTTGATTAGAAAACTTTTTAATTCCTTCTCAATCAAATCGGTTGGTCCATCACAATGCAATCAAATACTTTTAGCTTTTTGTAGTTTTTTGGTTGTCCGCTTCACCCTTGTTTTGGGATTTTAAACGGAATAGTCGATAACAACTATTTATCAATATAAAGCTGTATGAATTGCCTTCACCCATAATACCTTTAGCAGAATTGCGTTATTCAACATGTATCTTACCCTTTTAAGAATGATCTTATTGTAGCAGTCGACTAGCCCGTTTTGTCTAGATGTCAACCTCATTGTGAGATGATGTGCTATTCATTCTCCTTGCATTACTTCTCGAATTGATCTAAGCAAAACTCAAGGCTACTGTCAGCTTTTCAACTTATTCACCTTCTCTTTAGCTTGAGTTTCAACTACAATTTTGCATTCTTTAAATTTGTTGAAGTCTTCTTTTTTCTGTTTCAAGATAGTCACCCATACATTTCTTGAAAAATAATAATAAAAAAAGGATGTAAACCATCTTGCTTCATCATATGACTCACTTCTTGTAGGACTCTAAACATATGAATGTAAATAATCTAAAATGTTTTTAGATTTATGCTCAAATGTGGCAAACCTCAACCCCTTGAATATTTCCACCAGTGGTCACAATAATTCAAATTTATAAGTTTTTTATTTCCTAGGAACTCTTGCTTGTACAATTCTTCTTGTCCTCTTAGGCTTACATGCAGGATATTTGATGCCATAACTTGATTTCATCAATGATATTACAAAATATGCAAGCACAAACCCCAATCACAATTCAATCTTGCAGTGTATGCACCAAATTCATATGAATTTTTTTCATGATGATCAACCAACCTTTGCAGACCTTTAGGCTTCAACCATTTCATTTAAAATTGTATATATTGCATTTTAATTCGCCCAGAGAAATCAAATTTCTTCAAAGATTAAGAACATACCTTACATTCTTGAGCAGTGTTTTCAAGTCATTATAGGGTTTGAGTTGAATTACTCCTTCACATTGAACTTTGTGCCTTGTTATTTCCAAGGTACACCGTGTCGCCTTTTTTTCCTTTGAAAGACTCAAATCATTTCTCGTTTCGTCACATATGATAGTGGCATGTAGAGCCTAGGATCCATTCCTTATTAAAATCTGAATCTGAGTTTGATAGCACCTAAATAGTTTTATAGCTTTCCTCCATAGTTTTGACATCACCTCCTCTGATCCTTTCTTGGTTCTTGTTCTTCCTCTCTGGGTACGGTTTCTTGATTTAAACGCAATCTTTATGTTTGGTAAATACTCATGATCAAATGAGCCTACCAACCTCTCATCTGTGGTTCCTGTAGCCTTGGTCCCTCTTGATTGTTTCTCATGCTCTGAAAACTTCTCTATATATCTTTTTTTCGTGTTAGGTCTTTCCTTGTTAGTGATAGTTTGTTGGATGTGAGCATCCCCATTGCTTCTCCATCAATAGCATCATTAGATATGATTATAAGGCTTACTGATAGTTCAAGATTCTAGTTTGGAAAAGTCATATATTAGCCTTCCAAGGGTCCATTGGTTATTTTCTTTTTCTCCGCCATGTGAAGTTGCAATTGTGTTCTTCATTGCTACCTATGATTGTTCGGATGTGGAGGTCATTGATGCTTCAAGCACCATCCAGTCTCAAGATTCTGTCAGAAGTTTACTTGGCTTAGTGGATAAGATGTTTCAGCTTTATTTCTCTCGTTGAGGCCGCAAAAAACTTTTTCTTCATTCTCCTGAGTTTATTTGATTCCAAGCTAGTTGCACATTAACTATCCTAATGACTTTGACATTTTGGACTTAATTGGTATCTTATTGTCGCCTGTTTTTCTAGTCTTGGATAGATTTTACTAGATCACCTTTAAAATTTTCATGAGCCGACTTATTTTGTATCTATGCTTTCTATTGTGTAATTTTTTGTGAAGACTATGTTGTGAACCTTTTCATTAGCTAGTTATAAAATTTCATTGCTTTATAAAAAAAAAAGTTTAGCATAAAATTAAGTTCTGCAGAGATGAGGATGCTCAGGTGAATGAGTGTCTTTATACTTAAGAGATAGAATGTGAAATGAGTATATATATGAAAAAGGTTGGAGTAGCACCAGTGGTAGATAAAATTAGAGAGAGTCACCTTAGATGGTTTGGTCACATAAAATGTTGGCCTTTCGATGGCCTTGTTAGGAGAGCAGATGTATTAGATTTAGTCTATTTTAATAAAGGTGGAGGTAAACCCAAAAAGACTTAGTTAGAAAGTATTAAAAGATTTTTTATTAGATTTAAATGAGAATTTGACCCTTAATATGACATAATGGAGAAAAAGAATTCATATAGTCGACCCCACAGTGGGATAAAAAGCTTGTTGTTGTTGTTGTTGCTGCTGGTTTATTAAAAAAAAAAATTTAAGCCTTCATGCTTCTTCCATGACCCCCTCCAAAACATCCTATGCGATAAGACCACTTTACATGATCTCAGCCAACCACCTAAACACCCATACCCAAGTCCTCCCTTCACAATTCAACAAAATAAGTTCTTTCTCTGTAGCACCTCTCAGATACCTCACAAAATCTCACACACAACTAACCCTAGTAACCACCAAACCACACGAAGGCTTCTTTCATACATCCATACAGCACCACAAGCAAAAGGGAGTGTCTTCTTCCTCCTCCCACAGCCACCTCATCAGCAGGAGATTCCACGGTCACACCTTCGATCTATAGAAAAAGAAAATAGGAAAGTGTGGATGTGCCGGAGCTTGCCAATAACTTTATCATTGTGATTATTTTAAATTGTTGCACATGTTGACTATAGTTCTCAATTCTGCTTTTTAAACTTTTATGTAATTCTTACTACAAGAGATGTTTCCTGGTATCATATATATTCTGTAAAACTGCAAAATTTTATCAACTATGCTATTTAAATTGTGCGTGGTCTTTCTGAATCCTTGAATCAATGAACTTCGATTATTTCAAGAGTTTTACAGGCTTTCTGACTGGCTATTTACATTTCAGATTTATTAGATTATGGTATGCGAGTCTTGTTACTTTCTTCTTTGAGCTGCCAAATTAGTTGACTTGAATGGCCTTCCAGATTTTACCTGTCAACAAGAACTTGTGAACGTCTTTGGACGTCTAGAATTACGTTGATTAAGGTGAGTAGTACATCAAGTTGTACTCTTTTTTGCTTGTGATTCTGAAATTGGAATGCTACTTCTCTTCTGAAACCTTAAGTTAGACGCATTCAATTTACTAGGGAATGCGAACACGGGAAGAAGAAGACAGAATTTCAAGCCATTTCTTACTAAAGGTATAAAAATATTATTGCGAAATTATCCAGCATACTTTTTCGTACCCAATTGACTGGCAAAGCTACAATCTTCGCGATCTACATTATTAGATATATCTATATTATTACATAGGCTTAACATTTTCCAGTTTTTTTGAATCTTCGCATTTCCCTGCCTTGTAAAGTAACTTATATAGAGTATATGAGTATCAACTATAAATGGGTATATAACTTGGTGCAACAGTACAGGCTTGGCACAAGCATTCGGATGTTGTATCTATGACTCCCTAACTTACTGTTATAATAAGCAAGGGTAAGTCTGTCTGAGTATCTCTTCCTTAACCTCCATGCCAAAGTTGAGGTTCAAACATTAGAGAGAAATGAATGGTCTTTCTTTGTTTTTCTTCATCAGATTGCTTTCTGATGACTTAATGCTGGCCACTCTTGTGACTAAAATTCAGTGTTAGTTTTTATTATTCAAAGAAATCATGCACACATGATATTGCGTTAGGAAAATTTATTCGTTCTCGGACTCCAACTTTCTTCAAAGTTCTTTTTTTTTTGCAAGGATAAAATTTTCTTGAACAAATTCGGCAATAGTGTCTCACCAAGCCACATGAATATTTAAAACCCCAAAGCATCACTCTCTTAAGAACAGAAAACTCAAAATTATAAATCAGTCTCACGGTTTGAAAAAGTTGACAGGAAATTTTTAGCTCAGCGAATGTTGAGCTATAAAAATTCTATATAATAAGCACTTCACCGTTCATTTGCACAGCTATTATTCTTTATTATTGCTTATTTTTTCAGTACAAATGTTGGTACTTTTTGCTGGTGTACTATGTATTTTAGGAAAATAATATGAGGAAGTATTATATTAGGAGAATATCTAATTTGTTGAATATGTATTTATTCCTCTTAAATTATGAGTATTCTCCTTTTTTTGTTATTATATTAATCTTTTATGTCTAATTATAGGCTCTTATATTTAGTCAATAAGATACATCAAATTCATCTACCTGAACATGGGATCGGGCATAACTAAGCCTTAGTTGTCGTTGCCCTTTTCATAAATAAAACTTTACTTGTCGGCTTGTTTCCCTTTCACTTCTTTATAGGGGTAATTTAGTAATTAAGGGGGCCCAGGTTAGTAGGGTTTTTTGGAGGGATCTTGATGTGAAACATACATGCGATAAGAGTTGCTTTGGATTTTAACAATAAAAATTGAACATGAACTTTGCTAGCTAAACACTTATGTTTCACTCAAGTCAAATTCTTAGAAATTCCGTTGGAAGATTAAGTGATGGCAAGCGGTTACAATGAGGTTAGCAAGACAATCAAAATAGCAACGAAAACAAGATAATAATACTAATAGCAAATAAACAAGAAACCACGGTGTAACATCAAGAAATAGTCACCATGAGTTCCTTCTCACTAGCTCTTGGGGTTGAGTTTAGCGGAAGAATGGTAGAAGCAATCCCAATGACGCCACCACATGACAAGTGGCTCGTAAGGCCTTGTTCGTCGGACAAGTAGCTGGAGGAGAAGAAGTCGATGATCTTCCGATGAGGAGCCAAGGTAGTCGGGGTTGTTGGAGTTCAATCATCTCGGCGAGGCAATAAAGGATGCGGTTGACGTAGCTTTCCACCGAGTCATCGTATTCTCAATCCGATTCGTAGAAAGGGGAAAGCAGAATATCAATTTCTCCTTGGGCGTTATAGGCAAGACCGTGGTCGACCTCAGGATCGGCCATACACCAATGGCAAGAGGGAGGGAGGAGCTTGTCTTCTTCTCTTGGCTTCAACGAACATGGAGATCTAGGGTTTCCAAAGGTGAAGAGGCAAGAGGAAAGGGGCGGCCAAGGAGGGAGAGTGGACAGTTTGGGTGGGTGAGATCTAGATGAGGTTAGGGTTGGGAAAAGATTTATTAAATCTGAAATTAATTTAGATTAAGGGGATTTGGAGGGAATTGAATTTGAAAATTTGAATTCAAATTCAATTAATAGTGAGAGCTTCCAAAGGAAAATCAAGGGGAGCCCATTAAAGGGAGGTTGGTGGCATCATGATGGGAGGGAGGAGATTTGGGAGGGATTTATTAGTTTCCAAAACAACTCATGTAATTTAGGAAAGGTAATAATAACTCAAATCTAATTTGAATTTAAATTAGACTTGGATTTATGCACTTTCCTAAATTAGGGTTTGTAAATAAGGCAAGCATTTGAAATTTGAATTTGAATTTCAAATTAAATTAACTCCTTTCCTTTCTCACTTGGAGTCAATTTAGGAAGGGAATTATGATGATTGAGCTCATCATAATTGAAGGGGAGCAAAGGGGGAGGCCGACAACAATAGGGAGGGGGGATGGCGTTGGGTGGGAGGAGGGGGAGAGCTTGGGTCATTGGTTAGAGGATGGCCGGTGGTGAGCTAAGGGAGGATGGCCTGTGGTGGAAGAGAAAGGAGGAGCCGACGGTTGGGGTGGGGAAGAAAAGAAAAGAAAAATAAAATAACTTAAACCACAAGCCGCGGACTCTTCCAACGACTGGTGGGTATTGCGCTTGCTCTCACCTTGAGCTCTCTCTCCCTTCTCTCTCTAGTGCTCACACAAGAAGAAGAAGAAAACACATAAAATTTTTATTATCAAATTATCATTCTCTTACAACACATAAGACCACTATATGTAGGTCTCAAATATAAAAAAGAAAAGTACACAATTGTCATCTAGGCTACCAATAACAAAACACTTCCCCATAGGGGTAAATTCGAAAAACAACAAAACTAAATAAAACATAAAGAAATGCATCACAAGTAGAGACGCTGAATCGTAGCCGTTGATCTACGATTTCGTCCCCGGTACACGTGTTTGAACTTTGAATCTCTGAACGATGTCCTCATCATTCTCCTCATGTGGGAGAAAACTCGACCCCGTCGAGTCAGCATCTCTAGAACTCTCGTACCGCTCCAACAGATCAGGATCCAATCACTGTAGCTCATCGCGGTCAATCCTCGTGTTCTCCGTCTCTGGTTTCCCTATCCATTGAATTAGATACCTTCGGCGTCCACCGTCTTTAGTGGAAATAATCTTATAACCAAGTATTGCTTCAACCTTCTCCGCAGTGGGTAAGATAGGGATGTTTGGGAGTAGAGGTAGGCTAGGGTTCTCACCATGTGGGTTCAGACAAGGCTCTTTGTTTATTGGGTTGGAGGGGTTAAACTCGGGACCCTCAAAGGCTACCATATCTTCAATGTTAAACGTATGATTAATGTTAAAACCTTCAAGAAGGTCTAGCACATAAGCATTACTATTTATTTTTGAATTTATTTGAAAGGTCTTGCGCTTTTCGCATGTAACTTTTTAACGGTCCCTTGTAGGAACCGCTCCGGACGAATTCGAACCACTACGAAGTCTCCAACTTCAAATTTTTTGAATTGTTTCTTGAGATTCGCATGAAGTTTATAGTTAGCATTGCTTTGTTCAATTTTTTTGTTAATTTTCTTATACAACTCTTGGAGATGGGATGCAAATGCAGATGCATATGCAGACTCAGATGCTCTATACTTATGACTCATAGAGATCAGATCTATATGCTGTCTAGGTTGGTATCCATAAACAATTTCAGCGGGACTTAGACATGTAGTTCGATTGACAGGATTGTTGTAGGTGAACTCAGTTATAGGCAATTTGAAATCTCAATCACGGATATTTTTTCTTGCCAAGGTTCTTAACAGATTTCCTAGACTTTTATTCACAACCTCAGTTTGTCCATCTGTCTGGGGATGGAAAGCAGTAGAAAATTGAAGTTTGGTCCCCATCTTGTGCCATAAGGTTTCCATAAATAACTAGTAAACTTAACATCTCGATCTGACACAATGGTTTTGGGTAGTCTGTGGAGTCTAACGATTTCGTCAAAATACAATTTGGCGATCCTAGAAGCATCGAAAAAGCATCGAAAGTTTTGGAGCACGGGAGGAAGTGAGTCATTTTAGAGAATCGGTCTACTACCGCACACACAGACTCATGCTTTCTCATTGTTTTGGGTAGCCCTAAAACAAAGTCTATGCTAACATCCTGCCATGGGCAGTTGGGTACCGGAAAGGGTGTGTAAAGCCCAGTGTTTTTCTTACGTTGCTTTGCTAACTAATAAGTGTGACATCTCTTTACTAACCTACTGGCATCGCGCTTAAGACTAGGCCAGAAGAATCGGTGCTCAACAGCGGCGATGGTTTTGGTTTGCCCAAAATGTCCTGCTAAACCTCTCGCGTGTTGTTCCCACACGAGGAATTCTCTAAGCGAAGTGTTTGGGATGCAAAGTTTGTAGGACTTAAAGAGATATCCATCTCCTAAAAGGAAATCATCAATGATGCATTCACTTCTGTTGACCAATAATGCATACGTGTCTTTGAAGTATGGGCACTCCGTATAACTTTCATTCATTTGGTCAAACCTAATTACTTCGGTCCTCATTTCCCTAGTGATCATTATTCGTCGGCTTAAGGCGTTGGCTGCTTTATTTTCTGATTCTGCTTTGTGTCGGATCGTGTAAGTATACTCTTGAAGGAATTCGACCCAATGACCATGTCGTGCGTCCAGTTTCTTTTGGGAGTTTATGTACCGCAAGGCTTCGTGGTCAGAGAAAATAACAAACTCATGGGGAAGCAGGTAGTGTCTCAAATACCTAAGGGACTGAATGATAACATAAAATTCCTTATCTAGGTAGAATATCGTTGCCTAATGTCATTCAACTTTTCGCTAAAGTAGGCAACAAGATGTCCCTCTTGAGATAAGACTCCACCGATACTGATACCAGAGGCGTCACAAGTCACTTCAAAAACTTTGGAAAAATCGGGCAGACGCATGATTGGTGCTTCAATCATTTTCCTTTTTATCTCCTCAAAGGCTTTAGAGGCAGACGCCGTCCAATGAAACTCTCCTTTCTTCAAGCAATTAGTATCGAACCCACTATAGTGCTAAAATTCCTAATGAATCTTCGATAAAACGTGGCCAATCCGTGAAAACTTCTAACGTCTCTGATGTTCTTAGATTAAGGCCACTCATTGATTGCTTGCACTTTTTCAGGGTCAGTGGATATGCCTTGGGAGGAAATGATAAATCCAAGAAATGTTACATGATCAGTGAGGAACATGCATTTCTTAGGATTAGCATACAACTGTTCCTTCCTCAAAATCTCTAAAATTTGTTTCAGGTGATTTAAATGTTGATCCATCGAATTACTATAGATCAGAATATCATCAAAGTAGACCACTATAAATTTTCCTAGGAATGGTTTGAGGACCTGAGTCATCACTCTCATAAATGTATTGGGTGCGTTACTCAGACCAAAAGGCATCACCGTCCATTCATACAATCCATCCTTGATCTTAAAAGTGGTTTTCCATTCGTCTCCCGGACGAATTCTAATCTAGTGGTAGCCACTTTTAATATCGATATTAGAAAATAGGGTGGCTCCGGTCATCATATCTAACATGTCATCTAAACGCGGGATGGAGAAACGATACTTAACCGTGATTTTGTTGATAGCGCAACTATCAACACACATTTTCCGCGACCCATCCTTCTTGGGGGTTAGAAGGGCATGAACAACACACGGACTAAGGCTCTCCTTAATAAAACCACGTTGCAACAACTCATCCACTTGTTTCTTAAGCTCAGCAGGGTTCATGCAGTAATAACGTGTTGGGGTGGGGAGGATGGCCGGTGGTGGAAGGGAATGGAGGAGCCCGCGATTGGGGTGGGGAAGAGAAGAAAAGAAAAATAAAATAACTTAAATCACGAGCCGCAGACTCTTCCAACGACTGGTGGGTATTGTGCTTGCTCTCACCTTGAGCTCTCTCTCCCTTTTCTCTCTAGTGCTCACACATGAAGAAGAAGAAAACACATAAAATTTTCATTATCAAATCATCATTCTCTTGCAACACGTAAGACCACTATATGTAGGTCTTAAACATAAAAAGGAAAAGTACACAATTGCCCTCCGGGATACAATAACAAAACACTTCCCCATAGGGGTAAATTCGAAAAACAACAAAGCTAAATAAAACATAAAGAAATGCATCAAAAGTAGAGACGCTGAATCGTAGCCGTCGATCTACGATTCCGTCGCCTGTACACGTGTCTGAATTTCTGAGCGATGTCCTCATCAGATATCTTTCATATTATCTTGAGAATTTGAGAGGAAATTCTATAGTTTGGTGGATATCTCCTAGCTTTGGGAGGTGCATAGAGGGAATGTGGTCATATTGGAGTCTGGACTCCGCTACAATTGATCCCAAAACTTGACAGCCATCTCTGTCGAGTGTTCCAGCTATGGTTGAATCAGAAAACCAACAGCTGGAAGCAGTGGCGGAGCAAGCATGGGGCACGTGCTCATGTATAACCTCATGTATTCTTTATGATTTTTTTATTTTGTTGATTCTCATGTAAAACCTCATCATCTTAACACATTTCCAGACATTAGTGACACTGTCAAATTTTCTAAACGCGAACATTCAATTACATCCTCCCTATACTTGATTATCTAATGAACCTTCAATTGGCTCAACTATCATGTTTCAATATTCAACTAAGAAAATGTTGATTTTTTTTATTCCATCTACTTTCAAGAGAATGATATTTGTTGTCTTTATAATCTCAACCCTGAGATATTCTTTCCCCAACAAGGTGATATGAGAATTGAAGAATTTTATAGCACTCTACATGGAAAATGAGACGAGGTACTTGAATACATTCCCTTCATAGTTGACTCAATTATTTGACAAAAGCAAAATGAAGAATTTTTATTACCAAATTTATCTTTGGGTCTACACCCAATAAGGTATGCAATCTCAGTTAATGGTTGACTCCATAATGCCTAATATTGTGCCTGCTTTGTCCTTGGTTCTTTCCGTCATTGAGCCCTCCATTTATTCTCCATCTCTGATCAATTAGCTTTGGTGGATGTCTTTAGCTGTGGGAAAGGAAATTATGGTTGTTGTGGCAAGACTAATTGTGGTCATGGTATAAGAAACTTCTTCTCCTTACCTACATTGCATCAAACTAATCCTCATACTGCATATTATTGGTAGAAATTTTGGTATTTCACCATTCGACATATTCTTCTACATCCATTTTGATTCTTCTTACTCCTTTTGATGCCTTTTTTGAATTGGTTATTATTTTTTTAGAAGATTGTGATTGACTACTTCAACAACCATATCAACATCAACCTCTATTTTTATGTACCAAGGACTAAAACATTATTTGCTTGATTGGATTAAGCAAATGAAAGTGATAATATGAGCCTATAGCTTTGGGGCTAAAGCACAAAGGAAGCGAGTGATAATATGAGCCTATAGCTCAGGGCTATGGAATGTTCTATGACAAAAAAAATGTGAGAATGATTGGTCTATCTCTGGCTCAATGGGAAGGAAGAAGATGAAGGATCTCTCAATTTCTCCTCTCTCTAGTTCTCGAGAACTCAACAACTTCTCTCTCCCTTGGTTTCACATGGTTTACTCAACTGACCCTCTTTGTTTCTCTAGTCAAAAGCCCCAAAAAGTTAAAAGCTCGCCCCAAATTTTTTCTTGCTTCTTTTGTATCGCCCATCGATTGACCTTTCTGAAACAAGGTTGTCTAGTTGTATTATCATCTTACTTTCATTTTGTTATGGATTGATGGCTGAGATGTTGAGAATGCCCCTAATAGCTTGAAGCTTCTGGTTGTAACTAAGTGTTGTGAGTAAATAGGCGATAGAGGATCATATGAACCTATTCTTCCTTGCATATGCAGCCATCCAATTAGCCCTAGATGATTCGACATGGAGAGGCACCAATCAGGGCTAAATTGAGACATTGGATGCTTAGTTTGACCCTGAATCGATCTAAGCGAGTCAATTGAAACCTATACTGTTCAATTTGGGATGAGAAGGTTCAATTCAACTCAAGTTGGTTGATTAAATGAGTTGAATGTATCGATTCAATTAAATTGATTTAATTTGTTCGATTAAATCACATCCGACTTGATTAAATTCAATATGACTAAATTGAGCTGATTGAATGCAATTTGACTTGATTTAATCAAATTAATGAAATTAATTTAATCGAACAAATTAAATTTATTGATTCAATTTAATCAATTCAAGATGACTCGAGTCAAAATTTCAGTCAATATGAAACAATGTCAATTTAACAATATACATAAGTCTCGAATACCAATGAGATAATAAACAAGCTAAAAAAAGAACGGATATCTAGTTTCTTATATAAATAATCTCACAAGTCTAAATCTACACAAAATTCAATAGAATTTGAATTAGTATCTAACTACTTGACACTAATTACATGCATTAAAAAAATAATAAGCTATGAAATAATAAGTCGCGAATAAGTTTTCTTGCAATCATAAAACATAGATAAATACAAACATGTTTGAGAGATAAGAAGGGATTGCATCAAACTAATATGTAGATTTATTGATTATAGATGATTTTTCTTTTGATTTTGTTTCTAAGATTATAGACATACTCAAATGCCTGCAAAAGGCCTAAAAGAACAATTTTATTCTGCAATGTGAAATGAAAGAAAGATCATTAATTATTTTGCCAATAATTCATTATCTTCCTGTAACGACTCTTCATATTTCAGTTCAAAACAGGTGGGGATATGGTTACCAAAACGCTAGGTCATATATTGTTTTCTCGTTTAAGTAATAAGCTGGAGCTAACAAATACCTATGCTCTAGCTGGTGGGGAAGTGTTGTTGTATGATGTATTCAAGGAAAATAATACGTGAAAGGATTATATCAAGAGATTACCAGACTTGGGGAATTAAATTATGATTATTCTTCTTCTTGTTTGTTTCCTATTGTATTCATCCAATATGCCGATATATAGGCTCTTGCATATAGTCAATACGATATACTAATTCTTGCTCAACTCCTTTTATATTTTTTGGCATCGTAGAATACTTATAAAGCATGCGTTCTGTCTTTTATTTTTTATTTATCTTTCCTTTGCAGTGCTGTAATTGATATTACTTGCTGTTTTGCGATGGTAATTTCTGAATAAAACTAAAAAAAAAACATAAATACGGACTTTGAGCGTGCTCACAACCTTTGCCCGGACTAAGTTATTTGTTTTGTCAATGTTTGAGTGCGTCAGTCCACTTGTTTTAGGCTTGTTTCATTAATTATTTTTCTTCAGTAAAATGTACAAAGGGCGTATTCAAATTTTGCAAAATCATACACAGTGGAATGTGCTATTTTTTAGCAGATTTGTAATCTTTCATCTTATTTTTGAGAAGGCAATAGCAGATGCTTGCAAAGTTTCCCCAACTTTCACTTCAGATCTTCATGAATCTGAGGTGCCTACTGAATCTGAAAAACATTTTGACGAGGAGCAGGAACTGCAACAAATTATTGATGGGAAACTGTGGATGAAAGTTTATGATTTTAGTTCTGGTACTTGCAAAGTGCTTTGTATTAATTTATTTGGATATGATAGTTCAAATGGATTTGTGACAACTATAGATGGTGCATTTGAATTGTCAGATAAAAATGCAACTTCTGAAAGGAGGATCATTTTATCGGGTTCATTTAACCCTTTACATGATGGGCATTTAAGACTCATGGATATTGCATCAAGGTATTGAAGCTTTTAAAATTTTTTTGGTAGTTTCTGTTACACATGGTTTCTTATGATCTCTTAATAAACAGTCATAAAATTTTTTGAAATAATAGTTTTAAATGCAATGACAAGCCACTCAATTTACTTCTTGTAATCATATATAAGAACTATCTGGGATTTATGTGAAAAGTTGAAAAAAAAAAACCCCAAGCTAGAACTATGGTCACCTATGATGCACGGACACAGACACGGCAAGTTTTTTTTTTTTTAAAATGGACACACTCAAAACGTGTCGGACACGTGTCCCCGCCGTGTCGGGCGCGTGTCCGTGTCCGACACGTGTCCGACACTGCACTGCCTCTTAAAACGGAGTGTCGGTGCATCATAGATGGTCACTTATGTTATACTAAAATGTTCTCATAACTAAGTATGGATGTGGCAAGTTATGAAATAATTATGCTTATCAACATAGACATGTGTGTCAAATTTGAGCTAAATTATTAATGATTAAACTAATTTTTAATACAAAATTTAAGCCTATAGGTGAGAGGCTAATCACTTGATATTTTTTACTATTTTTTTTTTCAACTATCATATGCCTTAACAATCTCTCTTTCATGGTAGAATTTTTTTAGTTTTTTAGATTTGTCATCACTACCCCTCAAACATTAGATTTTAGATATGCACCAACATCAAGTATCATGTATGAACATCCTACTCCATCTTGTGGTGTCTGTGTGGTAGTTGCCTTCTAATTTTCTAGGCCATGGTAAAAGTATCCAAGAGCTATGGAATCTATAATCCAAATGAGCCATTCAATCTCATCTAGACTGTTTACTTTGTTACCAATTATTAGCCGTGCAAGCTAAAGAGGGACTAAAGTTGGGCCTGATCCACTGATGATCATTTTTGTTTTCAACTTGAGAAGTTTAAACCTATGGGTGAGGATTTGGCCATTTTGTATTTTTTATACCTACATAATTTTCAATTATTTGATGTGTGACTAAATCCCATACTTTTACGTGTTTTAACATTCCATCATACATTCAATATCATTGTGTCAAAACTAACCATCATGCACAATGAGTTGCTCCGCATGAAAAATAAATTCTAGCTCATGATTCATGAGTAGATCAATTCCTTTTGAGGGCACATTAACCATACAAATTGAATCTAGAATCCACTAATCATTGAATGTATCTCCATCACTAACCAAGAAGAATAACTTTGTACCTAACTAATTTGTAAGGATACTAGCATTTTGTTGACTTATGCTCTTTTTGGCTGCCATTGGCATGCATCCTCTTCAGAGCTTGACACTTTTTCTTGATGTAACCTTTCTTATTTGCACTTGTTGCAATACTTGTTTCTATAATGATTAAATGTAGACCCTTCTCAAAAGGTCTCCATCTCATTAGTAATCTGGCAACTTATTTATCGTCTCTTACACTCTCAATATTGACAATGATATTTTTATAAAGAAGTTAATTTTTTAATAATTTCCTGTTTTGATGGTATCTTGATCATATGACTTAGTGTTTTAGAAAAAGAGGAGATAAAGGGCATAAGAGTGATGTAGGCAAGGGGGGGGGGGGGGCAACTCAGGCCCAAATTAAATTAATTTTGGCCTCTCCCGAGTCTTCAAGCTCAAAGAATTTTGAGCTGGAATTTAGCTCATTTATGAGCTGATTTTTAGTTCATTTATTGGACTAGAGGTTAGCTCATTATTAGATAAGTTTTAGCTCATATTTATCTTCTATTTAATGCACTTTTATTATAGTTTTAAATGTTTTAAGTTATGGTGTCTCTTGGGTTCCAAAAGGGCTTTTAGAATCTCAAGATTGATGTTTTATTTTCCCATGTGTGGCTCCTTGAATTCCACCATGGCTTTTAGTGCCTTTGCCCCTTGGAATTCCGGCCGGCTGCTGGTTTTCCCGTGCCTGGGCTCTTTCCCGTGACCGTGCCCCTTGGTTCCGGGCGTTCTCCTTGGTTCCCGTGGATGCCTCTTCGGTTCCTTGGCTTGGGATGTTTTTTAGGTATTTTAATGCTATGTGATATTTAGAATTCCTATGGGAATTTATTAGGTGTCTCTTGGTATTACTCTTTCATACCTATAAATATGGGAGGATTTGTAATGTTTAAAAAAAGCGAATGATATGTTATTTTTGGAAAAGCTATAACCTACGGGTTTGCTTCGGAAATCATGCGGGCTCTTTCCACCCTTCTTTTTCATCCCCTCCGGAAATCCTGCGGGCTCTTTTCACCCTTCTTCTTGGCTTCTAACCTCTTTCGTCTCTCCGCAAGTGCCACTCCACCTGTATCCTTCTTCTCTAAGTGAAGCAACTTTAGGGTGTCGTCAAGTGATTGAGTCAAGTTTGTAAGTCAGTTAAATTTTACAAGAGTCATTGTTGTAAGTCTTTTGATTTCTAGTCTTTTTATTTTATTTGGAGTCGTTTGTAAGAGTTTATGTTGTTGAAATCATCGTTTGTAGTTTTAATTTCCACTGCTTAGTCTTATTTAAGTTACCTCTTCTTTTTTAGGTATTTTGTGTCTTCTTTTATATAGGAAGTCTGTTTACTCTTTGCGATCGAAAAATATAGGGTCCCCTATATTTTTTGCCCGCATCAAAGAGTAACAAAGCTTGAGCCTCACCATCAACAATTCATCAATGTTCCTTTAACCCCTAACAATAGGATTACATTTTTTAAGATGTAATTTACTAGGTGTATCGTTTTGCATGTATTGTAAGTATAATATCTTCTTTTCATAAAGTTTATTGTAAATGGCTTTTGTTCAAATGCAAAAACCAACTTAAGCCATAATCCCTCCGTTCTTGTTTTCTTGAAGACCTCTGTGAAGACTTCATCCTTTAAATATAGTTGTATTTATGAGAGTACTTTTTTCATTCATATCTACTTTATTCAGAGCCTATAACATATTTGAATGCACTATGGGTGTCTTCATAGGTCGTTGTTGAGCATTGAGAAAGCATCTCTCATCTTGATTTTTTCCAAAGTCTAAAATTCTTTGTGCTATCAAATTTCTTGTTCTCATACTTAATGTCCATTCTATTTTGCACTAAGCTTTGAAATGATTTGTTCCATTTACTCATAAGCATCCCATTTAGATTCTCGTAACTGAATATCTTTATAGGGATTTTAAGAAGATGGATTTTAAAGGCTGAGTTAGGCTTTAATTTTGACTAAAAGTTATCCAAAATAATAATTTTGGCAGTAAAGTTTTAAACTAACATTTATCAAAAAAAGGAAAGAAAAAAAAAAGCATATGATTGTTTAAATTTATCCTAAAATATCTCATATTAATTTTTTTGCTTATCTATGCATATTTATTTAATCAATTCTCAAAACCACCTAGTTATCCAACAAACTTGATTTTATAGGAAAAAAGGGTCATTAGTAGTTAAAAAAATTACCCTTTAAAAATTGTTTGCTTGTATATACAAATTTATTTAATCAAATCCTAAAACGTTCTACTCATAAACACACATTATTTGAATTGGGATAACAACTCTTATGACTCACACGATTATTATTGTAACACTAGCCTACACATTACTTCTAATGGGAGGATTTGCTGAATCAAACTCTTCTATTATCTATTTTACTTGAAACAATTCATATTATGTCATATTTCATACCTACTCTCATAGCGATTTAATAATATCCATACCATAATTAAGAACATCGATCATCCTATGGCATAAATATAAAATTTTTATAACAAAAATTCAATGAATAATATGACTTGTATGTTTAACAAAGAATATCATATTAAGAGCTCTAATCCTATCATTAATCCACCCCTTAATGTTATGATTATGTTCCCACCTCTTTTCCTCCAAACTGTAAGCTTCACTTGCCCTATTAGACCCTCTAGTCCTATAACCTCCACCTGCACAATTATTCTCATAAGTTCCACTTGCTACGTTCAAACCTTCAATCCCACAAGCTTTGCTTGCTCTATTAGATTGTCCAATCCCATAAGCTCCACCTTATGCATTAGCCCTAGTAGTTCCATAAATGCTTCATAAACACCACCATATGCTCCATTAGCTAAAGCCATAAATTTTGCCTACTCCATTAGCCTCGCCATCCCATGAATCATGCACAGGACTTCTACATTCATTGATAGTTCTTCAGAGGAATTTCAATGTGTTGTTCTATAATTATAGGCCATCGTTAAGAAGAATATATTACTTTGCCTTTAGAGTAATAATATTGAGTTTGTGCTTCCATTTTTACCCATATGCGCTCTCGTGCTTGTAATTTTTTTTTTTTAATATTTATATGTGTGGTTTATAGTTGAAACCTCCAAATATGCATAACAGGGTTCCTTTTAGTGCCTATTTGGTTGTATGCATTTAAAATGCATTTATTTTAAGAATATAATATAAAATAAATTCAACCAATTTCATTTACTTCGTTTATTTGGTTTATGGAAGTAAAGATTTTTTATGTCTTATCTATTCCCGCAAACTTGTGATGATGGTGCTCTGTGTTGCAGAGCCATTCCCTACATATTATAGACTGGTCAAATTATTTCCCCTTTAGATTTGGGGTTGAAGAAGTGTGTACATTGAAAGATTTTGATGTGCATGCTACCACCATTTGAATCTTCCTCCCCTCACTTTTATGTCGCATGTATGGAATGCCTCATTGGCTTAGTCCACACCATTTTTATTGACTCTAACTTCAATAGTATTGGCTCAATGGATGAGTTGTAGATTCCCAATGAGTGAAGGTCTTTGGGAAAATAAACTCGTTTGGGGGATTTATTTTCCACACCACTCTTTAAGGAAGTTGGCAACAAGCCACAAATGCTGGAATTTGGTGGGGTCTCGAGTGACATACTTAAAGATAGTTTGTGGTGCATTTGGAATTCAACCAATTTGGGACAATTTAGAATTCACAAAAATTGAGGATTTTAAATTATTCTTAAATACTTAAAATAATACTTTACACATCCTCTTAACTCTATACCAAATACTTGAAAAATTAAAGTGGATGTATTCCTTTTATTTACACCACTAGAACTTGCAACCAAAAAATCATTCGGGATTTATAAATTGCACATGAGCCAATTCCACCTTCCCATCAACATGATCGCCGTCTTAAACTATTTGGAGAATGGTTCTATGAATCAAATGAATTGATACAGGATCACCGAAGACTATCATTCACATGGCACCATAGTTATAGTGTATGTTGTATTTTCTATGTCATGCACTTAGGATATATTAATATTTTTTTTATTTTTTATCTTCATGATAAAAGACTAAAAGAGCCCTTCTACATAATGGTGCCTAATGATGCTCCCATCTTAATCTTCCTCTCCTCTCGTGTCCTCCTAAATCCTATTTTTTCCTCCTCTACTCCATTATTAATCACAATTCCCCTCATTTTGTCCTTCAAGTCCCTCCAACTACTTCCTCCCCCCAACTTCAAATAGAGCTCTGCCTCCCTTTCCACCAAACATACTCGACCTCAACATCCACCACTATTCCTCCCCATTTAATCCTTAAGGCACCACATCCTTCCATTGAAACCACCAAATACCAATCCAAATTAAGCATATCATCATCCATGGAGATTCATGGCCACCCGCCTTCACCATCCATTGGAGGTTTATGGCTAGAGAAAAGAAGTTGGGAGATATTCATTTTGTTTATATTTGATTGTGGTTGCATTATAATGTACCAATTTACTGGTGTTTTGATATATTTTACAACATGGATATAGGTGAGGACATAATTTTTCAAATTGAGGTTCAATGGTTAGAATGTTGAAGTGCTTTAGGACTAATATATTATAAGAGTATCTTAAAGGCATACAAGTAAATATTATTAAGAAGTAAAAAGATTAATTGTGCAATATGGGTCAAAGGTATGCAACAGAGAAGTTAGTTGTAGTTAAATTGAGAATGAGAATATTTTGATCAATGTATTGTAAATTTGATAAATTATAATTTGATCGGCTATGCTATACTAATCTTTGTGCTGGCAACAAAGTCAAGAAGATAATAGAGAGATAATGGGAGTGACACCTATAAAAAATAGGGCAGTAAAATAGTGTTAGTTGGTTTGGGCATGTTCAACAAAGTGTGGAGGATGCATCAATAAAGAATCCAATTGAATTAATGTGGAAGAATTAGGAAGAAAAATGAGCTCATGAAATGTTACATAAATTTATCTTGTATAAAACTTGTAAAAAATATATTTATCATGTTAGCTAGCAATCAACTAGAATGCCTGGAGGACGATATCTTCACGTAGAACACATTATTACATTATTTATGTGTATAATGTCATTGTTAAAATAAATATGCAGTTCTTCACTGAAAAAATTGTACATAGTTAGGACACTCCTTACATAACATACAGGGAAACGGAGTATCTACGTGGAAAATCTTTCTTACAGATATTTGGATTTCATATTCACGTGAATAGTTGATATACAAAATATATTGTTAAAGGTTTTATTTTAAAAATATAAACCCTTGGTTACTTGTGCATTGGTTGATTTGTTTCTATCATCTCAAAATACTTTTGATGCATATGCTATCTTTAAGTTATTGCATTTTTTTAATCATTGAATTATTCATGTTCTTTATGTTGCATATCGTAAATCCTTTATTCCTTGGTTCTTCCTCAATATTATCAATCCGTCTCATTACTTCTAAAAGGCATAAGAAAATGGTTTTCAAGCATGAATAGTGGTAAAATTTTTCTCTTATCTCAAACTACTAAGTGGCATCGAAAATTTGTTCTGATTTCTTTTAACTGAGTTTCGCTTTTGTCAAGGCTTATCAATAATGCAATCTGGAAAAGGGGGTATGGGATATTCGCACACAAGGCAATAGTTCCAAGGCTTGCACATGTCTGTGCTCTGTAGATGTTCTATATTGATGTTGAATTGAGTGGGTTTCGGAAATGTTAGAAACTCATAGTGAGTTTTGAAAGCGAATCATATTTCAGCAGATTTCTATGGGAAATGAGGGATAAGAGAATGGATTTAACTCTCATTTGGTCATCATGAAGTTGATTAAAGGCTGATAGATATTTGGGAAGGCTTCTGGAGATGCTAAATGAGGCTCTGTGAAGGTAATAATTTGAGGTGCCAGGGATCATGAGGCTCAAATCCCAGCAACCTACCACTTACATAGCTAGGATTTCTTTTGCTTGAATGACTTCAACCAGCTTTCTCATTCATAGGCTTTTCATATTACTTAATTTTTAAATTCTCGCTAGCAAACCAAGAGTATTGCAAAGGATGTATCTAGTGCAAGCTCTTGCCAACGCAAGGTCTGAGGATTGCTTAATGCATACAATATGATCCTTGCATTTTATAGAGTGGCTATTTCTATTACCTCGAACCTGGGACCTTTAAATTACAATGGAGACAACGTAACCAGTGCTCTAGACTCATCCTCTTAACCAAGAAGATTACTATCATCACAAATAGTATTCACGACAAAAATGTTTACATGCTAGTCATGTACTCTTGCACTTCAAGTGGGAGGTAAAGTAAATAAAAGTAAATGATTTGTTATTTTTGAAGCAATTTAATTATCTTTAAACTGAAAAGAAAACATATAACAAATTCAGAACATTCAAAGATTAATGACATATGGATTTATGTAGCATTTCCAAGTTAAATTTATTGTAAATTTAGAAACTTAGATGTTTTTTCATATCATGAATTTTCTTATAAGTTTCTTTTTTCAAATGATTATCAACCTAACAATAGCCCTTAACTTTTTTGGGCTTTTGACCTACAATAATGATTTTTATCATGAAAAGATTAGGAAGAGAGGCGATGACAAATGTTATTGACTAGAAACTGTTTCAAAGGCATTCCTAAAGTAAAATAGACACCTGATGTAGCACTCAACATTGAATGGAAAATGAAGATTCATAAAGTAAAGCAATTATTTGGGAGATGGTTAATGACGTGCTTGATGATGATGAACATATTTGTCATATATGCTAATTCATTAGTAGAAGACTCTAAAACTTGAAATGCCTCATGGCATTTATATTGAATGCCATTCCTCGTATCCATTTGAAATGAACATAATTTAGACCATATATTGTTGATTTGCCCAGCACTTTCTATGGTGTCCTAACCAATAATGAAATGATGGCGCTGTTCCACATCTCTTATATTTATCACTGCATTGCAATGTTATATGTGTTGGTAGTTGATGCTTATTCCGATGCTGCTACTTTTGCTGCCAGTTTCCCCTGATAATTTGAGGAGTTGCAAGAGTTTTGTATAAAGTTTATAAGTAATTCTGATGCAGTTTATGTGAAGGCGTTCCTTGCTTTGAGATCTCGGCAATTAATGCAGATAAGCCACCACTGGAAGTAGCTGAAATCAAAAGACGTGTTGAACAATTCAAGGAGACAGGTACTTCTTAGCATTTAGCTCTAGTACTCATTGGGAAGTCAAATTTATTAGTTTACTCAGCTAAGCCATAATGTTAATATCTGATGCACACGTTAGTTCAAGAAGGAAACATGAGAATGTGCTATTTTCTTAGATCATGACTGAGATTCTTAAATGTACTTATTAAGAGATTTAGCAGCTAACTTTCTTGTTGGTGTGTAGTAATTTTGGTTGGATAGAAATATTAACTTGGATTTTGATAATTACCATAAAAAATGAAGATATGTCATTCTTTCAAATAGAAAAGACAGTGAAATATAGAGTGCGCATTGTCTCGCACAATATTATTACACTTAAAGAAAGAGTAAAAGCCTAAAACAGTCCTCCGACTATTAATAAATGCCCAATTTAATCCCGGACTTTCATAATGACCCAATGTAGTCTCCTGGCTATTAGTAAATGTTTCAATTTGATCTCATTGCCAAAAGTAGCAGTTAAAGTTAATCCCAACCATTAAATGTGAGTCATTTTGGATATTAGGCTGCATGTGGGATTCTATTATTATTTTTGTATATATTTTAATATAATAAATGATAAAATATAGAAAAATAATAATATAATCTCACATATACCCAAAATGCCTTTACATTTAACTTTAGGGGTTAAGTTTAACAGTTACTTCTGCCGTGAGGCAAATTGGGATATTTTCTAATAGCTAAGAGACTATTGGTTCATTATAAAAGTTTGTGATTAAATTAGTCATTTACTAATGGTCGAACGTTTTTTTTTTTTTTTCTTTTACTACTTAAAGAAAAAAGCTCTAGAAAAATGAATTCACGATTCATGCATTGCTGAGTAAATTTATTATAAATCTAACAAGGAAAGATTTCCTAAAAAGGATGTTTAAAGAGCTATGCAACTTTAGACATTTTAACAATAGTTAATTTGTTTGATATCCAGCTCAAACTTAGGACATCCTGCGGCATAAACCAATTCAAATTGATCTTATTTTAACCATTAGAATACCATCATCCAATATTTGGTGAAATCGCCGTACTAATAAAATCGGAATTGAAGAGGCTTTAAAGAAAATGAATGGTGGAAATAGTAGGGTCTGATAATATTCTAATAGAAGTATGGAAATGTTTTGGAGATCAAGAAATTTTTTGGCTTACTAAACTTTTTAATAGTATTCTGAAATTAAAAAGATTCCAAATGAGTGGATTAGGAGTATATTGGTTCCTATTTTAAAAAATAAAGGTGATGCACAAGAGTATTTGAATTATAGAGGAATTATGTTAAATGTGTCATAAATTAGGTAATGGGAGAGAGTAATTGAGCATAGGTTATGATGTGATACTAACATTTCTTAAAATCAATATGGATTCATGTTGGGTAGGTCTAATATGGAAGTTATACATTTGTTGAGAGGTTTGATGGAGAAGTATAAAGAGGGTAAGGAGGATCTACACATGATATTTATTAATTTAGAGAAAGCATATGGTAAAGTTTCAAGAAAAGTGCTATGGAGAGTTCTAGAAAAGAAATGAGTTAATAATGCTTATATTCAAGTTATTAAGGATATGCATAGAAGAGTTGTGTTCAAATGCAAGGTGGTTTAACCAAATATTTTCCTATTTCACTTGGATAATATTAAGGATCAATTTTAAGCCCCATATTTTTTTGCTTTAGTTATGGATGTTCTTACTTGACATTTGCAAATGTACCTTGGTGTATGCTTTTTGCTAATGATATTCTTCTTTTTGATAAGACTAGATATGTAGTTGATGATAAACTTGAATTATGGAGGTCAATTTTAAAGGCTAAAGGTTCTTGTTTGAGTAGATCTAAAATCAAATAAATGGAGTGTAATTTTAGTAGTAATAGATCTACTAGTGGGGTTGTGACATTGGGTGATCAAGTCATTAAAAAGAGTGCACGTTTTGAATATATTGGGTATTATTGTTCAAAGAGATGGTGCAATAGATGGGATATTATTAGTAGAATTTAAATTGGATGGTTGAAATGGAGGAATGCATTAGGCCTATTGTTGATAGAAAAGTACCCCTCGAACTTAAGGAAAAATATTATAAGATATGGGGAGACTTGCAATGCTTTATGGTGCAGAATATTGGCCATTAAAGGAGAAGCATAAAATTAAGTTGTGTTACAGAGATGAGGATGCTCTGGTGGTTGAGGGGCTTTACACTTAGAGTTAGAATGTTAAACAAGTATATACATGAAAAGGTTGGAGTAGCTCTAGTGGCAGATAAGATAAGAAAGAGTTACCTTAGATGGTTTGGTAACTTAAAAATATTGGCCTTCTAATGACCTTGTTGGGAGAGTAGATTTATTAAATGCAACCTATATTAAAAAAAAGTAGAGATAAACCTAAAAAGATTTGGTTAGAAAGTATTAAAATTGACTTCTTTTTTTTTTGTTTGGTTTAAATGATATTTTGACTCTTAATGGGACACAATAAAGAAAATGCATTCATGTGGCTAACCCCACGTAGTGGGATAAAGGCTTCTTCTGATCATTGATGTACTTATAATGTGAAAATTTGTTGATCAATCTTTAATGATGTTGATGAAATAAATGTTCTCCTCTCAATGCACTCATGAGGTCAAATCTTAAATCTAAACCCTATCTCAAGCCATTCCTTGTAAGCCAGGTCAATGATATATATTTTTTTAATGTAACTACTACTTGCTTAGCCCCTATTAAGATATGATGTCTTTCATATGGAGATGACACATATTATGTCAGGCAATTCATGGTTTTATGACATAAATGTTATTCACTATGATCATGATAATATTTACACTTTTAAACACCAAGACTGATCATTAAATTAGCAATTGGGCAAGGACTTTCATACTAAAGCCTCATTGGCCTCTTCCTGAAGAAAAGACTGCACCTAGCCAAAAAAAATTGCACTACTTAAGTTACTCTTGATTGGCTTCTTTATAGATTTCTCTTCCTTACCTAATGACAATTAAGCCTAACTTTTCCCTTTCGTATTCTGATATTATGATGTGCATCGAAAAACATGGGTTTAGAAACATTACGTGAAGAGTTTTCTGCTTCTCTTTCACCCTCTTCATGTGAAGGAAATTCCACTAATACCTAAGATCCACATACTTGATATTGTTTTAGATAGTATGATTGAATTCTTTGATGCTTCTCCTAGTAAACTGCTTGAGGAGTTATCCACTATTAGAGTCATACAACTTGCCGGTGGTATCTTTTCTTGATCATCAGTGGCAATTTTTCCCCATTCTAGGATAAATCCTATTTCATTGAGCTTAACAAGAAAGTAGAAGATTTACTTGAGAGGCCTCGATCTAGCTGTCATCTCATGTTATTCATTATTTTGTGTTTCATCTTCATTAACTCTTTATTTTCAGTCTTCATGCACCTATATAACAGCAAATTAAAATAAACACTGATGCTAAAGCTATTAATCAAAAGCTTCTTCATGGGAATATAACAAAAGTTTATATGCTTTACTTTGCAATTGTGCCGAATGCATCTCAACCACGAAATTCATAAAGCTTCATTGCAAATTTGGACTGAATGTTATTTTTTTAAGTGCAATGGGAGGTTTTTGTTAATTTGAAAAAAGATTTTAAGTTGAAATTTTAAAAATTATAATTTGAATATATAATGATTTATTTACTGAATTTTAAAAAGAAATAAATGTAAAATGTGTTTTAATATTCTCGTGCAATTTCTCATTTCTTGTATGTTCAAAATACGTATTGTTGCCCAAATGCAAGCAAATTTGTGTTGCGCCTTTGTGCGGTCGATAGTCCAATATTGATGTCTATGTTAAATAATTTTGACATTCTGAAAGCATTATTGATCCAATCCATTTCCTAAAGCAGCGATGGTTTAGCGATTTCAATTGCGATCAAAATGTTTTGAGCTAGATTTGTGCAACATCACATCCATTAACCATCATTTTCATATTGTTAGATTGAATTGATTGCGAAGGTCCTTGGCAATTGATGTTCTGGACACATTAGTACAATTTGTTTTGTGAAACAAGTAATGTTTAAGCGATTTTGACTATAATTAAAATATTTCAAACTCATCTTGTGCGATGCTCCATCATTTATCTGTCTTTGATGTAACCTTTGACCATCGTGGGGTCTATATTGATGTCAATGTCACGACCCGGCCCGGCTAGCCTGAATTAACAGGGCGGGAACATACAGTCGTACGGTTACACATAAAATTTCACTCATAATTAAACATATACAAATGTTCATCCAATTTCAAACATAAAAAGAGCCACTAAACATCAAACTTGAAAGTTTCATCAACATCAGAAATAACAATATAAAAGCAAAACAATACTTCAGAAAGTCCCCAATACATAAACTTTCACATAAACTAACACTAAACACATTAACAATTATAAAAAAAACCTGTCATCCTGGGATCCTCTACGACGGAAGGTAATCAGTTTTTCAGCTATCAGTCTCTAACAGTCTCTAACAGTCTCTCTTGAAAAATATTCCCACAAACAGGGGTGAGCCAACGCTCAACAGGTAACAGGTATTTAGCATAAATTCATGAACAATAAAAAACACATTAAGCATGGAATCTTTCGTTCATAAGAATTATGGAAAGTAAAAGAAATCATACATGACATTTGATATGCATATACATTAAAACCTTTTTCATACTTAGTTTTCTTAAATATTTTCTTTCTTCATAAACTTTTTCTTTTAACTTTTCTTTTATGTGCATAAATGCATAAAATGCTTATTCATATAATTATACACTCGTCTCAGTACCAGTATTTTGTACTGATAAGGTATACAGTCAATTTTTGGCCAACCATTTCTTTTACTCCAACGAGTCCTTTACCAATTTGCCCCGATGAACTCTTTTACCAATTTTTCCCGAAGTGCCCTTTACTAGTTGGTACTCCGGATCATCATGCACATTCAATTATAATATTTATCATAGGGATTAATTCATGCAGAAATTCATAGATGTTTCAAAAGCTCTCATGTTTACTTAGATTTCAGTTAAAGAACATGTCATTTCACTTAACCTTAATTAACATTTAATGTAACAATAAGTGTAAGTACAAATACTTAACATTTCATGAATAATAAAATACATATAATTCTAACATGAGAAGGTTGCATGAAAAGGAAAATTATAAACTAAACATATGTCTTATTTAACATAAAACAAAATTTAGAAACATTAATTTACTTTAAATACAAGTACCTACCTCATAAGTATAGTAAATCTCAACGACGTCGCTTATGCTCGAGGCGTCCTCTTATAATCGACACCTAAGTATAAAAGTAAATACAAACATACTAAGCATTAATCATAATACATTTTCAATAACCACTTAATTAAATTCTATTTTCGAATTTATTAAAAATTCAAATTTTAGGAAACCTAAAATTCTCTAATTTCATCTAATAACCATGTCGAACTTCCTCCTAAACCTAATTAATAATTAGGTTATGTAATTTTCGGATTATTTTAATTAAAAATTTTATAAAAATAAAATATTTGCTAAAAACTTAATTTCTACCATTAAAACATCTTTAAGGTCCATTGGAACAATAATCATTAAGAAAATTTTCTTAAAATCCAAAAAAATGTGTAAACCCTAATTTTTCCAAACTCATAAAAATTTGAGAAAAACTTCGTTTTTAAGGTTAAAAATTTGGGTCAACCTAATTATAACTTTGGCGATTTTTAATTTAAAATCTATGCGGAGTTCATTATAAGTCCTTTATACCGATTTGCTCAAAATTTTATGCACTATTTTATAAAATTATTTTCGTTGAAATCCGACGACTTTGAAAATTCACTTAAATCTCGTCGCGGCGCATTGAAATGCGTGCAACGCTTAAGATCAACATTTTTGGGTTTTACAATCAACACCCCAAAGCTTGTTAGTGCTTGGTCGCCCTCCAAGAACTCATCGCCATCCCACCTCGGCTCTCCTATATTTGCTCCAGTGCTTCTCCCACTCCACTACAAGCACGGGAAGCGAGAGTAGTGCCTTCTTACTTCAAAGATCCTTGGGCCACTACCATCACACACCTTTGACCATAAATATCTTGATAGAGCAGCTTAATACACATATAGCCCGAGTTTAATATTCATAAAGGAATGATAACTCACCCTGCTAAGGGAATCAATCATTGAAGATTTGGAGCATGATCCAGATCAGTCATGCTCTGGAGTCCACAGAAGATGGAACATTTCTCAATTATGTTGCATTGGCGCACTATATATGCTCATAGTCTTTCTGAACCATGGTCTTTATCATATACTTCTATTGTAGGAAAACTGGTCATATGCAACCAAATAGAGGAGAAAGCAAATCTTTTAAGGATGGCTTCATTTTAATCTTCCTTGCAGGGAAAACTGTGATAATTTCGAACCAGCCATACTTCTTCAAGAAAGCAGAGCTTTTTCCTGGGAGTGCATTTGTTATTGGTGCAGACACTGCTATAAGATTGATAAATGTAAGAAATGACCTCTTTCAATCAATTCTTTGACCTAATTTGCCCACAGTAAATCTGTGAAAAAATAATTTGCCAGTCCACCTGCTATAAATCATATATACGCTATTATATTTCATTTAGACGTGTAATAAAGCACATATGCCTACACACAGTTGCGCATTAACATGGATTGTACATTGACGCAAGCATGAAAATTTTTTGTAGACAAGGAATCAAAGTGCTGTGACAGCGCTGCATGTCAAAGCAAATTCTTTGGATTTAATACTGCACGTTCTATTTTTAGGGGCCACTTTTCCTTGAATGTTTGCTTCTTTTGAAATGGAGTCCATTAAGCATAGCTAACCTTATTTCTTCTCATAAGCAAAATTTTGATTTCTGCCTTAGCCTAAATATTACGGAGATTATCACAAAATGCTAGAGATTCTCCTTGGATGCAAAAGTTCAGGCTGTTTATTTCTTGTGGGTGGCCGAATGGTTGACGGTGTTTTCAAGGTTGCTTCATTTAATATTATGCACATGTTTCTTTTACCTCTCCTTATTTGTGAAAGAAAATAATAGTATTTACACCATTTTTAGGTTCTTGATGATTTAGATATACCAGAAGAACTGAAGGACATGTTTATCTCCATACCTGAGGAGAAATTTCGCATAGATATATCATCAACGGAGATCAGGAAAAATAGGGACCTCTGAGTTCCTCCTAATCATTTGAATAGCCTTTGTTGGAATCAAAGAGGGTCTTGAGGTGGCTCTCTTGTTTTGAGAAAAGCCTTATGTAGTCATGTATATTGTGGAGGGGTTTTCCTTAAAATTTTCAACAACAACTATGTATATTATTGAAGTTTTGGCTTAGTCATTCCGTCTCCTATACCATCAAATTATAATCCTCTCACTGTTGGTATTGTTTTCTGAATCCTCTTTGTAAATCTGTAATTTTCTATGCATCAATGGTAATCTTATGATCATCTAAACTTTCAGTGTGAACTTTGTGGTCCTATATTCTTCTTATAAAGAAATACCCCTTCAGCCTTTGTTATGTAAACAAAATATGATGCCACTTTTGGCCATCAGTATGATTCCTGTGCCCATTATCAAAAGTGAACAATAGAGAGTCTAACCTTCAGCCTCTCCATGTACCGTCATCATCACATGCAGCATGCTTTCACCTGCATGCCATCATTATACCCTTGCCATCAAATTCTCAATAAGTTTTAGTAGTTTGATTGCATCTCCCACTGCAGCCCCTAGCATGGCCCATCTTGAGCCTCATGAGGTATTTTTGAATTGGGCTACCCTTGTGCTTCTTTCATCATTGATAGAGGTCCACATCCCAAGTGCTTGCACCTTTTATTCTTGCTTTTCATAATTCACATGACCTCTTAGGCTTCGTTTGGGACGGCTTTTTTGTTGCTTCTTAAAGCCGTTTTTTAGTATAAAAGTTAAAATTTTTATACTAAAAAGTTGCTTTAAGAAGCAAGAAAAAAATTGTCCCAAATGAAGTCTTACTCTTCCTATAAATAGGGATTTCACCCTTCCCTAGTTCTCCATCCACCATTATTCAACCTCTTCGGTTTTTAAGATGAAGGTCCCTTTTTTCTTCTGCTTTCTGTCTGTGCTCCTGTTTCTTCTTCGAGCTAAAAATATTGCAGCAGTGACATGCAACCCGATGGAGCTTAGCCCGTGCGCCAATGCCATTCTCTCAACGGCACCGCCAACGGCTTCATGTTGCTCGAAGCTCAAGGAACAGCAGCCATGTTTTTGCCAGTATGAGAGGAACCCCCAACTCAAAGAATACATAAAATCTAGCAACAGTAACAAGGTGGCCAGCATTTGTAAAGTGCCAGTACCCAAGTGCTGACTAATGAATGTCTTTGGTTGAACTGTAAGTCCCCTTAGTTATCTAATCTACAAGCTATTTAAATGGAGAAGAAGGGGATAGCTTCCTAGTTTGTTTATCCTTTCTAGAGTAATGGTTTGTAAGTTCTGTATCTTTGATATGGTGATAATGCTTATGAATGACTGGCAGTCTTGGCTGAAGTTATTCTCTGTTTGTTTAAGACTGGTGTTGTTCTTATATATCAATAAAATATTTTGTATTTTATGTGGATGGTGTACTCTTCATTGACCGAGGACGAAGAGAGATTATTACGTGTGGAATCTAGACATAGAGAATCAAACTGTGCTTTTAATGTTCATTGCTATGTTTTTATTGTTCATAGTCACAAAATTGGAGGGTTTTTTTTTTGTCTGGATTCCGCACGTAATAATCTCTCGAGAACGAAAGGGCAAAGCGAAGCTGGGTGGTTAGGTAAAAGTCTTAAAGCATAATAACCTCTTTAGAAACTATAGCTTCAGTAGTATTGCTTGTTTGGCCTCGTTACTTGCAACCTATCAACCCTTTTGTTTATTAAATTAGTAAGTTCTTGTTTGCCTCTTAACTTTTGAACTAAGCATTGATGAACTTAAATTTTTTAATGAGTTCAACAAATTTTCTGTAGTGCAAAATTTTCTTTGATCATCTTCATCTTGCCTTCGGCTAAAATTTTGAGAGAAAAATCTTCAGATCTACTGCAAGTCTGCAAAGCTGCGTAGTTTCTGTAAAATCATTCTCTTTTGCAAATTAGCTAAAGAGAGCAAAGCAAAAAATGCAAAAATGCAAATTTTTTTAAGGTCTTCCAAGTTTTAAGAACATCTACAGTGGCTGAAATGAAAAAGTCAAATAAATATATTCTAAGAAAAATAATATACTTAAAATATTTTGAAATTATTTGATTCTGTAATTTATGTAAGAGATTTTTTTTTTATTACGAAATTGGTGGCCAGCTGCCATGGGTAAAAAAGCAATGTTCTCTGTTACCCGGTTATGACAAGAATATCTTTTTTTTTTTTCCCAGATTTTTCTTAAATTTCTATAATATTTTAAAAATCTGAAATTTAATTTTCACTTCATAAAATCCTTCTTACTGATTTGCCAAATCATTGGGTTTTTTCTAAAAGAAAATAAATATTAATTTAATTAGTTTAAATTTGTATTCTTTTTGGCATTTTTAATATTTTATCAAAATAATATTTATTAAATTTTCAATTTCATATTTAATTTACATTTCTACATTATTTGTTTAGATTATTTTTCTTTAGAAACAAAAAAAAACATTGAATGAATTTTAAAAAGAAAAAAAAAACAAATACAAGACGAGAGAACTTTTAGTTTAAAAAATATATAATTATATTTAAATTTTTTTCTAATTTGTTATCCTTAAATTATGCTAAATAAATGAATTTAAGAGTTTAATCTTCCTCGACTTGAAATACTATTAATTTTATAATATTCGTGCCCAATTGAGAGCAATTTTTGAACAAACTTCGATGAGTCTTGGGATCCACTACTATGCTTTGAACAATTATTAGGTCAGGTGACCTGACGTAGCTCTACGTTCGGACGTCAATAATATATCACCACGTGTTCTTACACTTTACCGCGCGGCCCGATGACCCGACCCGGACCGGAACCCTGGATTACAATAACGAGAAATACTGTATGTCAAGGCCAATACCGAGCAATACCTAGAAAAACTCAGTGTTGCTCGGTATTGCTAGGTATTGGTCTTCACATAATGGTATTTCTCGTTATTGTCGAGCAAAATTGACCAATACCGAGCAATACCAAACAATACAGAGCAATACTAGGTCCGTTCTGGGTCGGGTTGTCGGGCCGCGCTGTAAAAAGTAAGAAAATGTGGCACTATTTCACTAGCGTCTGAACGTAGAGCTACGTCAGGTGTCCGGATCAAATAAAAGTTTGCTTCCGAGGGTTTAATATATGAATATTAATTTTCTTGTTTATTTTTATTAATTTTACTGTAGAAGTAGTAGCGTAATTAAAATTATTTTCATGTTTCTTCAAAAAAAATTATCAATAATCATGCAATTTATAGGTACAATTTTTTTTTTAATTAAAGAATAATAGATGATAATTACTCATATGATAAACATTATATATATATATATATATTCACTCTTATATATTTGAATAAAATAAGAAAATTAAATTTTATATATTAATAAAAATGTAAAAATTTCTTTAATTTGTATATTTTTAATTACATTGATATAATTCTCTTTTTTTTTAGTTTTAATTTTATTTTCACAAAAAGATGTAGATCAAAAGGATACATTTACAAGCTTTTCAAATTTCATTGAATAAGTTAACCCAAAATTAAATTTCATTGACGAAAAATTAATTTGCTAGTACCTCTATTTACTCAATCATTAGGATTTTTATATGTATGCTCATATCTATATTTAGAATTATATTTTTTTTTCTCTAGTACATCTACATTCTAAATTTTATGAGATTGTGTTAAAGATGGAGTTTCAGGCTTCGTTTGTGACAACTTTTTTCGTTTTTCTTAAAATAATTTTTTTGTAAAAAAAAAATTATACTAAAAAACTACTTCAAGAAATAAGAAGATAGCCGTCTCAAACGAAGCCCCAATCACCTCTAAAGTTTCGAAAGACGTTCATAAGAAATATTTATTATAAAAGAGAGAAAATTTTAGCTTGTTGGATGGGAACTTTGACTACTAATCAAGAGATATTTGGTTGAATCTTACATATAAAATGTATGTGTGAATTTACCTTAATTGACCTAAATATCCAAATTAAAAAAAAAATAAAAAATCAATGCAACACAGCTTGTCAGGTTGATTAGGCTCATATGCGACAATTAATAATCAGATAGGTTGGCTAATCACATTAGCTGGTTATAGAATTTGTAAGGCTAAGGCATTCCAGGCCAGGCCAAACCCAGCTCATTATCATGCCTGTAGGACAACAAGGCCTTGTAAGTAATTGCTGAACTGCCAAATTGACCTACTTCATCATTTTTGCTTTGATAAATTTAAAAGTATATAGAAAACGACTTCATTTATATGGTTAGAGAGTAAAATAAAACAAGGACACATTACATATATTAACAGGTCAGATTGATCATTGACCAGGTGTGATTCATATCCAAAAAATACTAATAAGATACAGTGGGTTATTGGGTTAATATCGTGTCGATCAATCGAACAAAACAGTTAATCAGTAGACCTGAAGTCAGGTCGGTCGAAATTTGGATGAAATGATATTTACTAAAAACCACCAATAACATTAAACATTTATATCACTATGTGTAGTAAACTATATGAATCATTTTCTCCATTGTCTTATTAAGAATCAATTTCTCATTAAAATTTAATAAAAAAATCATTTCTAATATTTTATGACTAAATCTTTTAGGTCTACCTGATTCTATTTTTCTTAACATAAATCAAATGTAATATATCACTCTCCTAACCAAACCAAATCATCGGAAGGTCAAAGTTTCATATGACCAAATCATCGAAGGTGACTCTTTAAGCTTATCTGCCACAGGAGCTACTCTTAACCTTTTCACATATATACTTGTTTTGCATTCTATCTTTAAGCGTAAAATGACTCATCCGCCTGAGCATGCTCATCTCTGTAACACTTAATATCATATTTCTCCTTTAATGACCAATGTTTTGAGCCATACAATATTACAAATCTCACCATCATCTTATAAAATTTAATAAGCCGAGACTCACTCTAATTGAGATTTGATTGAGCAGATTACAGGGAGTTCTAAGACATTTTCTCAATTTTTTAATAAAAATAGAAACAATCAGCAGTTAGAAAATCACACAGAATTTATGAGGAACCAGAGAAGAATTACAAACCAAATATCTTCATAAATACTCCATAAGTGTTAAGGCAAATCACAACTATGTTTACCATCAGAAACTTTACCAAATCCTTACAGTTTTGTTAAACCTACTACATCTATCGGAAGGGGAATTAATAAGAAAGCATGGATCTTGCCTTCATTAATATCTTGACCACAGAAGGGAGAGACCCATGAAGAGTAAGTAACATGAGACGACTCTGAAGGTTTTCAAGTGCTCGGAGCTGCTTCTGTTTCAATTTTTGTTGCTGAAGCTGTTTTATCTGTTTTCTCATAGTCTCCAAATTCACCTGCATCTTTAGTCTTTACAGTCTCAGCCTCCACAAATAAATGAAAACAAAACTACCACTTAATAATCGCATAATTGTTGGTTATAAATACACAAGCTTTTCATATTTTGGGCATTTTAATCAAATTTTATGTATTTATATATCTGATTAAGACTTTAATTGGGACGGATTTTTTGTTGCTTCTTCAAACAACTTTTTAGTAAAAATATAAAAAAAAATTATACAAAAAACTGTTTTAAAAAGAAAGCCATCTCAAATGAAACCTAAATCTTTATATTTATTTATATAACATCATAATCTTCAAATTACATAAGAACATCCTCAAAATTAACTTATCTAAAGTGAAATACCCTGGTAATAAGGTTACAGTGCGTCTAAACCTATATGTGTGCTTTATCTAGAATCTTTAAGTGCTTGAATACATGAAAGACGAGATCATTCAAAAGATGTGCAATGTATTGGAACTAATACCTATTGAAAATTCCATAAAATTCTGGTATGATTCAATGTATCTGATTTGACCTTATTCCATGAACTATTACTTTCATGAATTATAACTCTTTCTATATCTTCCTTGTTAATCTACATCTAATCTTTTGTCAAAAACTTATTAGCAGTTTACTCCTGAAGCTATTCTAAATGATGAGATTATATCCAAAGCTAATAGTGAATTTTAGAGATATATTTTGTTCACTTGCGAAACCAAACTATGATGATTTACAGATTGCATCATAGGAGACGCATAATATGTCTACATCTATAAATTTTTCTCTATTTCATTTATATAATCTGTTACTTATTTAGTGCTCTTGATTTTCTACAAAAATTTGATTGCTCTTTGATTTTAATAATTCCAATTTCGTGCCCAAAATCACAAATATTTTGATATTTCCTTATCAGTTGATCTTAGAACTTTAATATCACCTATTTTCGTTTAAAGAAAGTGAGTTGTTAAATAAACTTGTTACTTTTGATCTGGGAATCCATATTGTCCAATGCATGACATATATTATGCAACATATTATAAAATCAAAATCAAAACCTAAGGTTTTATTTGGACAGCTTTGTTACTATTATATAACGCAGTTTTCTAGAACAAAAATTTCTAATTCAAAATTTTTTTTACTACAAAACTGCTTCAAAAAGTAATAAAAAAACTATCACAAACGAAACATAATTCACCGAGTATCATTGCTGCCAAAATAAAAGAACGAACAAAGTATCTAGATATTTTGAGCTACTGGAGACTAAAGCCAAAAAAACTTATATGATTGGTGTTTAGGTCATACAACAATAATTAGCAAACTCTCAATTTCCTTGATGGCGACAAAATAAAGTGTTTGTGATGAGAACATCGAAGATCAACGGCTACGATCGTGTCTATTTATTTTCATGTATTTTATTTGTTATTTGTACTTTTCCATTTCTACCCTCACTTGAGGGCTTTGTTTTATGTTTGCCCTAGGGGCAATTGTGTCTTTTATTTTTCCTCATGTATTTGGCTATTTAAGCCCTCCCCTTCCTCTTGGAAAGGGAGGATGATTATTGACAAATGAAAATTTCTACTTTGATCTCTTTGTGAGTTCTACATATCAAGTTCTCTTTGTGAGTGCAAACCTCCACGATCTCTTAGTGAGTTCGTAGGAGAAGCTAGATCTCTTTGTGAGTTCTCTTGATCAATTCGTTGTTGTGGAGATTTGGATTGAAGCCACTAGTGGGAGATTGGAGTTTCATGCTTTTGATCCCGAGAATCTTCCCCCCACAATCTCCCCTCCCTTGCTCTTTGCCGTCGCCCCTCCCTGGATTGCCCAGGCCACCGGCCTGCAGCCCAACCCGCCGGCCAGCAGCCCCAGGCCACCGGCCACCCCCCCCCCCAGCCCGCCGACTTCCCCCTTGCCGCCGGTCTTCCCCCTTGAACCCTGGATTCAAATTTTAGCATTCATGAAGCCTATTAACTACCTCCTAATTTAGTTCCTTGAATTGAAGGCTCCAAATTAATTAGATCTCAATTTGAATTAGAAATTCAAAATTAATCTTAATTATTAACCCTCATATAGGGAAACTTTCATGGATTTAAAAACCTGAAATAAATATTTCAGTTTTTATTAAATCTTTGTTGACTATGTGGCCCCATTACTTAACACCAAGTCCCCTCTTCTCTTCTCCATGTGGCGCACCTCACCCCATTGATTCTCTTCTAATTGCCACTCATCACCTCTTAATTACCTCCCAAATCTCCCCTCTCAAAGGAATTTTCAGTTTATTTCCAGATTTCAAATCTGAGATTTGAAAATCCCTGAAATTCTGCCCAACAATTGGCTGTCCAGATTTCTGGACTGGTTCTTTTTGGCTGTCTCGAATTCAGGATCTAGAAATCTCTGTATTCTGCCCTTTCGAATTCCCTGTTTTTCTGTCTAGAAGTTCCCATCTACCATCCATAGACTCAGCAGGCTTCACGTGTTTTCGCCAACCTGAAGACCTCTAGTTGCAGTCCATCGAGATCAAAAAGCTGTCCAGCCGCTTGGAAGGATTCCCACCCGCTGCCCAAAGATTCTAGACCAAGGTTGGTGGCTGTTCTCCCCTCAGAAGTTGCCAAACGGCTGTCCACAGTCAACTAAGAGTTGAAGGCTGCTGCCAACCATCTTTCAAGCATCCAGACCTTCGCATAAGAGGTCTACATTATCTTTTCATTGGGTAAAGCTCTTCTTGGGACTCCTCTCTCATGTCTTATCTTCCTAGTTTACTTTTCGTTTATGGTTATTAATGGATTCATGAAGATCATGTCAATTATTCGCCGCTAGAACCTAGTAATAGGAAGAGTTGTGTGAGGGATCTTTCATAGCCTATTCTTATTGTTACTATTGGAATTTCTCGTTGAAACCACTCATGTATGCAAAGTAAGATTTAGTTGACTATTTAATGATCTCAACCTCTCGCATGTGTTTCGGCCAAAGCTATTTTATCACCTTAATGTTATCTTATCGTTTACATCAATAGAGGATTTTGCTTAACATTGCTCTCTAAAATTTACAAGTGCAAACTTCCTTAAGCAAGTCATTTTCGCATGGATTGTTTCACATCAGTTTGTAGTTGTTTAAGATATTGATGCAGAAAATAAGCGTAAGAACAATATTGATTCAAATATGAATAGGCTCAAACGACGGTTTATCATAGTTTAAAAAGCAAACTTATCAAAAAATTGAATAAAACTATCCTTAAAACTAGAGGCACCGATATTATTATCTACAGTGTTTTTCCCCAATATTTATGACTACCATGTTTTATCAATTAGAGAACCAAACATACCGCATCCAATGCAATTGCTTAGCCCTATTACCTTCTAACATTGTTAACCTCTGTATAAACCAAACAAAAGAGGAAAGAAATCAAGGATCCCGCGTATATACCTCGTGTTCATCGTTGGAGATCCACTAAAAGAAAATCGTAGTGTGACATCCAAGCGAATTTTTGGAGATCCACTAAATGAAAACCTCTGTGTGACATCTAGAATAAATATCTAGAGATCCACAGAGTCAATCAGCATACAACAAACGTGATTCGCTCTAGACGCGAACCACATTTGTTGGGGGGCATTTGTTAACCTCTGTGTAAAGCACAAAAAAAATATCAGAACAAACCTCGTATCCCTTAAATCCCGCACCTCGGACTATCGAAGGATCCCCGAAATCCTGCGAGCTGCTCTGATCTACGATCAAATCCCGCAAATCCCGCTGTGCTCGCATCTCATCTCGGGATTTCTGCGTGAAACCTGCGACACCGGCCTCAATCGTTACCCCCTTCGCCTCTATAAAATGTGACCGAAGTCCCCGCTCTTCCCACGACACTTCCTCTCCCACGGCTTCCACGACCAAACCCCTGCTTCCACGACCGAACCCCTGCTCCCGTAACTCTCCCACTCTCACGACCTTCCCTCTCCAATCCCTCTGCCTGCGCTGAGCCCGCCTCTTCCCGTCGGCTTGATCCCGATCCTCTTCCGTCCAGAGAGAGAGAGAGAGAGAGAGAGAGAGAGAGATTGAGAGGAAGAAAGAGTTCTCCTACCTAGCCGCCGAAGCCTCCTCTCTACCCGTCTCCCTTGTCCAGTTCGCAAAAACCACCCAGCCCGACGCTTATATAGCCGAACTTCTCCTTCCTTCTCTGGCCGCAAGCTCCATCTCTGCCCAATCCCTTTGCTATCATCAAGATAACAGTAAGTTAGGGATTTAGATTAAGTTATTTCTAATATTAATGATAGTTATTATCATCAATATTAGTTAAATTATTGTAAATTTCTTTTATTACTATTATCTCTAAATTAATTTTAGTTAATGAAACTTAATTATGATTAATTATTTTGATACTAATTAATTATAATTATTATTTTAATTATAATTAATTATTTTATGATAATTAATTACTAATCATTATGATTAATTATAATTAAAGTTAATTAGTTATAATTGATTAAAGTCAATTACAGTTAATTATACTTTAATTTTAATTAATTATTAATAGTTATGATTAATTAGTTTTAATTATAATTAATCATAGTTAATTAAGATTAATTATTTTTGATAAAAGAGAACCCCTCTTACCTCGATCCACGAGCTAACGCCGACGGCCGCCAAGGTATAACTCTCTAGCCCTAAAACTCTGAGAACCCGTTTCATCGCATACGTCGAGACAAAACGACCACCTATGCATGCTTTTCTTAGCGTGGTGGGAGGGAGTGCGTCTCGACGCTTGCGACGAAGCGGGTAATCACCCAAATTCCTTCTTCGAAGTCGTTTATCGCCTCTGGAAATCCCTCCTATGCAATGCTTTTCTTAGCGTGGTGGGAAGGTGATTTCGCGGTGCGATGCGCCTACGACTGAAGCAGGGGCATACCCAATAATTACACCGCTTGCGGAGGAAAATAACTGCATTACTTACAAAATATTTTCCCAAAAATAAAAAAAAAATCCGTTTTTTTTACAAACATAAATTACCTCATTGCACGTTTT